TACAGATGCTGGTTAACTAAATTTTCTGTACTTCTCATTTAGACATGAAGATCCAAAATACATGAGGCTCTAGTATCTGGCTTTTCCTCGTGTTATGTGTCTGTTTTGTAAAACCAGAATAAAGTTTTGTGATACTTTCGTTCGGCAAATGCTCTTTGCTTGGCTTGCTCCTCTGTGGTCGCTTCTCTAGATGAGTCGTCGTTTTTCAGTGAGCAACATCTATTATTATTGTGTGACAATGTAGGATGAAAGATAAGATATGTGTAATGTTGTGGTAGATTCTGTGTCTATCGTAATAATGCCACATGAACGCAACCTATTTATAATCTGGGATTTGTTGACAGTATAAGAATGATACTTAGTGGGGTGGTTATACCTTATCTTTATTGTGCACAGCAATTATACCACCCCAATATCCGCCCTGTGACTGTATGTGTTAGGCATTGTTGCACAATCCCTGTTTAAACTGGATGTTGATGTGTAAGACTGGTTTAGGAGAAGAGCCGGTTGCTTAACACTTTTAGTGGGAATTAGACGTCAAGTCAAAAGATTTGCTAAACAACCTCATCTGTCTTAGACAAAACTAGAGATCTTTGAAGTGTTTTTGACGGCCCAGCAATTTAATTTAAGTATCTCCTAGTGTCCCCTTTCCTTACAATCTCTTGTATTTGGTTTCGTCATAGTGCAGTTTGGTGTTATCGTAGGTTTGTCAGATTCTCAATTTTTAACAAACAAATATAACTTTTAATGATATGCCATGCAACATGAAGAAATTGTATGAAATGCCAGTGGGGTCACAGCACTAATGATGACTGGGATCCATTGCTACCAGTGTTAATTAACTGATTTCCCTCAGTCTTACTGTGATGATTCCATACCATTGAGCAGCCTTCAAATGATCTTGGCTGAGAGTAATAGGAGTTACAGAACACATCATTTTAAAGACCGATACACCCTAACCTTAAAACCATTTAATTTTTATTGTAGCCCCATGATTTCTAAACAACCATAACCATTACTACCCGTAAATCTACTATATGGGGTGCACTGAACAAAAAAAAAAGTATTAAAGGATCTCTAAAGGGTCAGGAATAGCGATGTTCCGAACGGTTCGCCGAACGGTTCGCCGAACGGTTCGCCACGGATGGCGAACATATGCGCTATTTGTCATCATTGAGTAAACTTTGACCCTGTACCTCACAGTCAGCAGACACATTCCAGCCAATCAGCAGCAGACCCTCCCTCCCAGATCCTCCCACCTCCTGGAGGGCTCACTAAGAATGCAGCTTCACAATGAATGTAAAATGGATGCTGTCCAGGAGGTGGGATGGTCTGGGAGGGAGGGTCTGCTGCTGATTGGCTGGAATGTGTCTGCTGACTGTGAGGTACAGGGTCAAAGTATACTCAATGATGACATAGGGGGCGGACCGAACAGCACATATGTTCACCGTCCGTGGCGAACCGTTCGGGACATCACTAGTCAGGAACACAAACATGTATTCCTAACCCTATAGTGTTAAAACCACCATATAGCACCCCTGGGCCCCTCATGCCCCCATAAATATAGTAAAAATCTTACTGAATTCAAGCCTGAAGCTGTAACTCTGCATGCTGTTAGACTCAGAAAAACAAGCAGTCTGCTGACATTATCAGAAGTGGTGGCCTAATCCAATCACAGTGCTTCCACATAGGATTGGCTGAGACTGACAAAGAGGCAGAGCCAGCATGATTCAAACACAGCCCTGGCCAATCAGCATCTCCTCATAGAGATGAACTGAATCAATGAATCTCTATGAGGAAAGTTCAGTGTCTGCATGCAGAGGGAGGAGATACTGAATGTTTGGATGCATTTTAGGCAGCCATGACCCAGGAAGGATCTCTAACAGCCGTCTAAGGAGTGGCCAGTGAAGTTATCACTAGGCTGTAATGTAAACACTGCATTTTCTCTGAAAAGACAGTGTTCACAGCAAAAAGCCGGAGGGTAATGATTCTACTCACCAGAACAAATTCAATAAGCTGTAGTTGTTCTGGTGACTATAGTGTTCCTTTAACTATATAATGCAACTGTATTATTTCATTATTAAAATATTATAAGTCTTGCACTATAAGTATAAAACTTTAGTATAAAAAGGAGTAGTTTGCTGGGCTCTTTATTTGCAGTTGATGCCCAGGTCAGATATACCTAGCCCTCCCCTGGGTAGCTATACCCGATGTCACTACAGCCCTGTGTACTGCAGTGTAATATTGATTGTCAGTATTCACAATACTACAGCTGCACATCAGTCTTTTCAGTGAGAGATTTAATAGTGAATATTATTCAAGTTATTCCGTGCTGTGCGTATACAAGCTGAATAACCAAATGTACATGCAGTAGCTAATTATCCACACACAGACTGTGCATGTACAAGGCGATTATAACTGACATTTTGCAAATGTACTGTGTGCTGTGCATGTACAGACTTTTTAACCACTGTGTAATACTATGCTCAGGAAATACAGGTTGATATTAACCCATAAAAACCACTGAGCAGTGTACACACAGATTAATAATGAACTGAGTAGTATACACACAGACTGATAAAGCACTGAGCAGTGTACACACAGACTGATAAAGCACTGTGCAGTGTACACACAGAGTGATAAAGCACAGTGCAATATATACACAGACTGATAAAGCACAGTGCAGTGTATACACAGACTGATAAAGCACCGTACTGTCTATTATTGAGCAATCAGTGTCTTCCACTTGCTCTGCCAGGTAAAACACACTGTATGTTGTGAAATTACTATTTATTATTATAAGTCCGTCAGATAATTAATTTTATGACTGTCTGTGTGTTATAAGATCATTTACAGACTGCTATAACTGAAAAATACAGTTGAAAAGTGATTTGTTTTATTGAGATTATAAGAATGAGCCAGCAATATATTGTTTTTTTTTTTTTTAGATTCTATAACTGCGCTTCTACATTCTTGAAGGACCTCTAAAGTCACCTTGACCACTTCATGTAAAGCATTGCAGTATAGTAGAATCTACATTGCAGGTTTCAATGCATCTCTAGCTGCTGTCTTCCTGAGAGCCACTAGAGGCGCTGCCTCCTCCAGAACTGAGTGGAACTCAGTCTTGGAATCACATGCTGACAACTGCATTTAATTGGAGGAGTGCAGCGTTTGACCACTCATGTCATTCCTAAAATCGCTTTTTTTTTATGAGAAAGAGGAGATTGCGGGTGATGTCAACTTGGATGGGACTTGTAGTCCCGAAATAACAATTGTTATTTTCAGGACAAAATGGGTCTCTTTAATTTTAATTTGGAATCCTTACACCAGCTTGGTAGGACCACCCCGCAAATTAATATTATTTTCGGTAAAATCTGTTAGGTAGTGCATGAACCCCCTATTATTCTAACCCCTCAGTGGTGGGATATGGGTTAATAAAGATCAGCACGCATCTAAGAGAACATCATTTATATCTTCCCCGCCTGTAGGGGCCATGCGTTCCATTTTAGTGGACCCCCCTATTAGAAAGTGAGATGAAGCAGTATTGAGCAACCCTTACATCACACTTCATTCTGGATGCATTCTTGATAGCTGGTGTTTTCCAAGTCAACTGTCAAGGAGCAAATCTCTTCAGCCAATCACTATCAAGAAGACTGTAAGGGATTGTTTAACATGGCTTATTCTGACTTGTTTTAAGTCGGTTAAAGTTTATTTTTTTCCTATTTCTCAAATCTTTATGGAAAGTTCCTGTATGGGCTGGCTGAGGAACCTCCCTTGACCCAACCTCATCCAAAGTTTCTAAATCAAACTTTCTTTAAAAATAAGTTTAACGGTTGGATCTTTGTGAATTTTATTTTGTTTCAAAGGGACAGCACAATATATCACAAGGTCACAAGCAAGTACAGCCAGTGTTCAAGGTCAACACCAGTGGTCGAACAATTATGCGCTCACCTAAGAGTAAACAGATCAACAAACACATTTGGACACAAGACCTAAAGCTAATTACCTTTGTTACTCCTCGTTAGACATTTTTTTCTCACCTAAAACATTTAAGAAACCCCTGGAGCATCTCACATTTGACATTGCACTTGCACTCCTTGCACGCCTCCTCTACTGGCCTCGTGACAAACCCATACATTATGCCTTTGAGTACTGACAAATTAAACACTGATTGTTTTGTCACCACTCACCTGTTGTCAGACATTGTCATGAGACAAAAAATAATAATTACAACAGATGGATTGCACTTACTAATATATCCAGTAAGAGCCAATGTTTTATTTTTCCACATAAAACAGATTTATATAAGTAGAGGTACAACCTGTGACTCCCGACTAGTGTCATTTTAATGAATATGCATTATCAGACTTACTACACTTAGTGAACAAAAATAATTCTATCCTGTTCCTTTGCAGCAATGTATCTTCTGTGTGTCTGTCTTTAGAACCCGATCCTTCTGTTCCTTCTTTCTATTGTACCATCTATCTTTTGGAGGTTTATCAAGACAAAAGAGGTGCAATTTTGTGCAAAGTGCTAAATCAGGAGCAGTCCTAGTGGAAACCAATATCACGTCTCTCAAAATTTAGCACCTGCTTGGCCTTGATAAATCCACCCAAATATTTGTTGTGTGGGAGTGTATCAAAGAATTTTACAGGAAGAAAACCCACAGTGAAATGAAATGTGTGTGAGTGTATCACAGATGTCAACAGCATAAATATAACTTGTATCCCAGAGTTCAACAATACCAACTCTCAGAATTATGTGGTGTGTGTGTGTGTATATATATATATATATATATATATATATATATATATATATATATATGTGTGTGTGTGTGTGTGTGTGTGTGTAAGTAATAATTATCACAGAGCTCCACTGAAACAGAACTCATATCATTAAACTGCATAAATTAATTTAATTATAAACGTTGGTCTCATTATAAGTGTGTATCCAACTACATTAATGGTTCCATTTGTTTTGATGTCACATTAGACATTCTGAGTTAGTTCCACACCACCAGACACATTCCCTACAATAAGGTGTAATATGCTAAGATAACCGGCCACTGAATCCTGAATGGCCACAGATTATCCATAATGTTTTAGTACGTACGAAGAGTGAATAAAAAAATGTAAAACATTTTTTAAAAAAAAAATTTTTGTTCAAAGACAATCTTGAAAATTTACATTTCGAGCTGTTGAACGAAACTTGCATTCTAAAGGAACATTGTGTGGTTTGAAGATTCTTAGAAGAACATGTAGAATTTTATGGAACCTATAAAATGTCTCTCTTTCTGTGAAATATTTAAAGGCTTGCTCCAAAATGTCCATCATTCTAATGCACTGAGGACAATGTGGGTAAAGGGTCATTCGTCTCTTTCATTTGGGCAATGGCTATAAAACGAGCCACAGAAAAGCTCAGAACTGGTGTCCACAGCGGTGACCTTCTTAGAATTGAACTGAGACACAAGAAGACATTGTTGCAGGTTTTGGATAAGTGAGGGTTATAAAGGCAAACACAAAACTACTCAAGACTTCACAATGTCCCAGGACATTCCTTCCAATCTACAAATAGATGCACGGACATTAAAATAACTGGTTTTCTTTTTTTGGGCATAGCAAATCTTCGAACCTTGATCTCTCTTTAGTTACTGACAGTGAATCTGCAGGATAAGGGATTTACCAGGAAAGAGCCTTTTGTCATTTTCTGCAATCCCAGTTTTAAGAAATAAAACAACTATTTATTCACGCGGTTTAGCTCCTGAGGATATTGCAGAAGCATTGGTGTAGATATATAAATATATTGCCAGGTGAATACAAACCATCTCACTTGTGGCTCAAAGTGTTAAAATAGGAGATGGGTTAAATGCAAATGATCCAAAATGTAACTGGCCGTGGTTTTTTTTTTGTGTCTCGTGGTGGGGAACCCTTCATGTTTTCCCTCAGCATTTGGCACAGTTTCCAGCCAACGAGTGCTGGCATATCATAAGGTCTCTAGTCTACCCTCCTGATGGTGGTGGTGCTACTCTTGATGCCTCAGCTTATAGGCTGCGTCTCCCTCTCCCACCCCAGATTCATATCCCTCTCCCCCTTCCATAACCATACCTTCACTGCAAAAGCATTTTCCTTCCCACAATGATGCATATGCACGTGTATAGTGGGTTCTTCCCATGATCCCTTGTGTGATCATAAATCATTACAGGGAATTGTATCTTATTTCAATTTACATGGAATGCCACCCTGTGCCAGAGCACCTTACCTACTACAATAAGTATACAAATTCAGTTAAATGTTTTGCTTTTTTCCCTCTTTAAATTCACTACAATGAATATGTAACTGTTCTTGCATTTTCCACAAAACAGGAAAATGTTGAATACTGACCAATTATAAGCCAAATAGCTGTAATAGAAAATTTCTTTCCAATTGAGCTACTTGACTAATTTGGATGAAAATGTGCAGTCCTTGTTTTGTTATTAGGACATGCTGTAATCCATTCACTATTAACAAACAACAATATTCTCTAAGCTCTCACAGGATTATTCACTAAAGTTAGAATTTAAAGTGAATTTCAAATTTAGGGCACAATTTAAGTGAAAACCCAGTAAATTTTAGGTTATTAAATCCAAATTAAATATGATTTTTAAAAAAGTATCCAACTATAGTTACAGCCTGGCTCTTTTAGCCCCAGTTTTGCAATTTGGATTTAATTTTCTAAAATGCAGTGTTTAGTAAATAAAACAGAAAGCATATACATTGCACTTTTTTTTTGGCATTGCATTTCATTGCATAGTGAAATATAACGAATCCTGTTTTACCTCTGATATCTTGTTTCAAAATGTACACCCAACACACTGAAGCTTTTTAAATTCATACAATTGCTCCAATCCATTGACAATTTTTTTTAACAATGTTTTAAACAAGTTAGTAGATGTACCCCCAAAGAAAACAGGCATATATTTTATTTCCTGCGTACTTTCTTTGGGGGTAAATTAAAGAACAGTTTGCAAAAACTGTAGACATGCCTTCTGCAGTCTTTGCAAGCCCTGCCCTTTTTCCCCAGCACAGATTGAATACTCATTGAGAAGCGTCTGGCTGGAGCAGTGAGTGCGCATGCATGCAATCACGACTTTTCTATTCTTCTAATCTAGAGCTATAATGCAATTCATGGAGAGAGGGGAAGGCAGGTGTGCTGTAGCCCACAAAGCCTGCCGTTTCCATTAGCAGTGTGCAGTTTAACTGTGCTAAATTTGGGTCAAAAAAGCAGAACTGGAGTATTTGTCATATTTAGTAAATAATTCCCTCTGTGTTCCTTCTAACCAGGATAGAGGGTTATTCTCACTTGTTACCTCATTTGTAGGCCTAATAGTGCCTTTATTTATGGGATAATAGGAATTTCAATCCAACAAAGACTGGGGAGGTTTGGCTGTCCAGCATCCAGACTAAAAACAATAAAACACAGTTATTTATACATTTTTCTGACAGCAAGGAGTGTCAACATATTTATCTCGTTTTAGTATCCATTTGTATGGTCTTTAGAAACAGTCAAAATGGGTGGGACTGCCAACACCCTCATTCCCATCTGCAATACATGTATTATCCTTCAACATTGTGCATCTGATACCACATGGGACGGTCTGCTTATAACCCAAGTACAACAAATATTATTCATTGTGTCAGACTTCTTAAATGAGCCCTGCAAACAGCTCACTGTAGTAGTTATGGTGCCAGGAGAGCCCTGGCAGCCTCCCACATTTACGAATATTTAGACAACCTACTGTGGTTCCACGGAGCACCTGCTGCTACCTCCACGGCAGATAGAAGATATTCTTAAATCGTTTGACTACACTGGATCATCTTAATTAGACATTGCATTGGGAATGCAGTGTTCCTACAGCGGCAATGGTATTATGGGCTATTGCTTGATGCCTTATTACGGTAATATCCAAAACAGCATGCGGCCCAAATTTTGCTTTTTTTTTTTTTACGGGTTAAAAACCACTGGTAAAAAAGTATACCTATCGTGCAAAACATGACACAGTGACAGTTTCGAGTTATTTCCATTCAAGCACTGTAGCAGCAAAAACAATGTGAACTATTGAAGATTTGGGTATAATCCCATGCCTTGAGCATACAGTGCTGTGAAAAAGTATTTGACACATCTGCTATTTTGATTTCTGCATATTTTTCACATTGAATTTTGTCTGATCTGTTTGAGCTTGGTTGTAATGTTGAGAAAAAAAGTTCAAGAGAGAAAATCAAATGATACTTATTTGTATTTGTTTTACAAGTTATTAAACAAAAAGTGCAAACTTGAAAAAGTTATTTCCTCAATAACTAAGATTGTTTATGATTTTGTCAAAGCTGTATTACGTAGTTACAGTTACATAGCTGAAAAGAGACTTGCATCCATCAAATTCAGCCTTCCTCACAAATGTTTTTGCTGTTTATCCAAAAGAGGGCAAAAAACCCAGTCTGAAGCGCTTCCAATTTTGCAACAAACTAGGACAAAAATTCCTTCTTGACCCCAAAATAGCAGTCAGATATCTCCCTGGATCAAGCAGCTATTACCGCACTAATTAGAAATTATATCCCTGTATATTATGTTTATCCAAGTGCTGTTTAAACATCTGTATGGACTCTGATAAAACCACCTCTTCAGGCTGAGAATTCCACATCCTTATAGTTCTTACTTTAAAAAAAAACATTTTCTTTGATTTAGACTACATCTCCTTTCTTCCAGTCTAAATGCGTGACCTCGTGTCCTATGCATAGCTCTGTTTATGAATAGATTTCCAGACACTATTCCTAACCCTATAGTGTCCATCTGCCCACCCCCGTCTGCCCCTTGGATATTAAAGGATTAAAAACCATTTAAAACACTCACCTTCTAGCGTTGAAGTCCCTCAGCCCTGGCTCCATCTCCTCTGTCAGCTCCGTGTGGGAACCTACTGTGTATGTGCAGTAAGTGCCGTGCCCGCATAGGGCCTTCCCCATATTAAAGCAAACAATCATTGCTTTTGTACGGAGGATTTGAAGATCATCTTCATACACAGAATTACCAAATTCCAATCCAACATACAACCAGATCAGAACAGAAGGAGGGGGAGGAGGGAAGGGAAATGTATCAATCATACAACCTCTATAAATAAAATAATGTGAGAAAAGAAACATAAACTTAATCATAAGCCAATACATATTAAAATGTCCTCTACGTTAAAACAGATGCTATGTCCTCAATTGTAGCTCAACGTAATAGCTAATAAAAGCTAAGCAGTTGGTTGTGCTACAAAATGTTTTGTTTCTGTTAAAGTATGTAAATTAGTTCAGGGTTAAAGTGCCGTATATGTGGTGCAGGTGTGTATATGGCACAACCAGGGAAAATGCTGATTGAATAAATACAAGTTTGGCATTTCTCTGTTAAATGCCCGAGTGTGCATCTGAGGCATCCAAGTGGCGGCAGAGACACCACAACAACAACACACAGCTATCTAGAGAGAAAAAAAACTATATTAGACACAATAGAAACTTATGAGAAGGTGTAAAATGAAGAAGAAGGTGTAATGTTCTCTAGTAAACCAGTCTGTATAGGTAAAGAGAGTGAGACAGGATAGTACAGATGTAAAGAATATAATAATAATAATTATTATTATATCTTTTAAGATACATCTGATCTCAAAGACTCAAAAACAATGAACCAAAATGTGTGTGTGGGGGGGGGGAGGGGGACAGAAAAAGACATAGGGTTGCTAGAAAACACAGTCCCCAAACTAATGGTGAACAGATCCAGGGATAGATGAAATACCAGTGACAGTGATAGACGAACATCCTAATCTCAGTCCATAGCTGAGATAGTGGGTTATCCTGGAGAAGAAACAGCCAGGGCCTGTGACTGTGAGAATTGCCTGACAGACAGGGGTAACACTTGTCTGTCTTAAAAAACAAGTTTTAACCTTTCAGAAGCCAAAAATGCAATGTAATAGTCCACAGAGCTGAATAGCAGTGCAGCCTCGGTCAGTTCCACTCCCTCATTCATATTTTGTAGTTTGTTTATTATATTCATGTTGTGCAAGTTATTTTATTTGGTTAAAAAAATAACAAAAAACATTTTATTTGTTTTTGACGAATACAAATAAATATGCAATAGTATAATTATTCAATAGCTGTTTAACTTTTTTTGTTTAGTTATAAATAAATAAATAAAATAGAACACACTGATAATATGGGCTGCACACACCTATGGTTTTTAATTAATACTCTGGCTGGCCAAATGTTTACTGTAAGAGAAATACTTACCTGAAAATTGTTACCTTCTCCTCCAGAGTGACAGCTGATTGTGGAATTACCTGTTATTGTGACATTTGGGGACAGGTGGCTGCATGTGCAGCAGACCATGGAGGCCATGTCTGTAGTGTTTAATTGTTTGATGGTATATAGAGGTAAAGGCTCGCAGTTTTCTGATTTTAATTTGTGTATACAATGGAATTCAAACATTTGCACAATGTATGGATACAACTCTATGTAAAGATACAATGTTATTATTTTGCCACCATGTCATGTTTTGTATGACACATGCACTTTCCTGAATTGTAACTTCTATTCCCTATCTTGATGGTATCTAACCAGCATATCATCCAGCTGGGGAGAATAAAAGGGTATATTTTTAATGCATTCCTATCCCTCTATATCATTTGTTTGTTAGTTCCACAAGAAACAGCCCTCTGTCTCCCCAGTGCTCCCTTTGGGGGAGATAGTAATAAGTGTTATTATAAATACACAGCAGACACAGTAAATACAATCTGGGAGAGAGGAGAAGCCTAGCTGGGCAGGTCTGAGGGCACACCCTGAGTCTAATGATACAGGGAACAGCAACATGAGACACATTTAAGCCTCAGGTAAACACACCTGCCTGGTAGGCTGACAGAAAGCATTCTACACTAGCCAATCACAGCCCTGCGGCTCTGTCTGATGTGTCTGTCAGCCAATGGCAGAGCAGGATGGCTGCTACTGTCCCGCCCCCACCTCCCAGCAGAATGTCCACTGAAAGTTCCATACAACAAACAGAGCCAGTGTGTGCAGCCAGGAGGAGGAAGAGGAACTGCAGTCATTCTGCCCAGGTACTCAATGCTGTCTCTTTAAGGGAAGGAGCTGCTGGGATTGGGATTTCATAATAGCAAATACTCCTTTTAACCCCTTGAGTGCCAGAAAGCTATTCCCTCCCCCAACCCCCATCCCTTCTGATCACTTTCATTCCTTGTGAGCAAGGGGTTAAACTCCCATTGCTACATTGTTTCTTATTGCACTAGAGGGGATCAAGGGTCTGACTTGCCTTGGCTTGCTGCCCTCCTGCTTTAACCTTTTCAGTGCCGGGGTGTGTGCAGTGATTCTGGCAACGAAAATATTCATTCAGGAAAGTTTTTTTTTGTTTTGTTTTTTCCTGATTTATTTTTTTTTTAATTTTTTTTAATTATTATATATTTTTTAATTTCCATCCTCCCCATCCTAGCCTAAAGTCTGCCCTGAACACGGCTAAGCTGATATATATTTATCTATGCAAAGTTGTAGAATAGGAAGTGAATAAGACGTTGTATTTGTTTAACCTTAATTTTAATTTTGCCAAGTTGGCATTCAAATCATTATTTTTGCTTAGGGCTGCCTTTGCAATGTCAGATGTATGTTGAGCACTGAGCAAATCCTGCATCTGCAGTCAATTCAACACAACTCTTTGTGCTTTTATGTCTATCATCATCATCTCTTTAAATGTATCTCAGAATGTAAATGGGGAATTATATATAAATTACCGAATAAGAACAGATACCTTCATTTAATGAACCCCAGCTCTGCTCTGGAAAGGTGTGTGTCTATATAATAGGCAGACTGCAAAAACTACAAACAAGCCCTGCACCAATAAATATAGGGCTGCTGATGGTATGCCTATTCTAAAGGCTTGCTTTGTGTTTTATATAAAGATTGTAATTATTGCCATAGAAACGTATTCAGATAATTACATCCCTAATCTGGCAGCATGTTAGAACAACATGAGTCTATTACCAATTGTCAGTGTTAGTTTTTCAATTTACATTCAGGACACTTGTGTAATTTCTGGACAGTTTTGCAATACCATACTGAATTTGTCTGCTGGAAGGCCATTCCATGCATGCACTACTTCCTCCATAATGTTATATAGACCCTACTGCTGCTGATTAATATATACATTCTTATTGGGTTTTTTTTTAAATCGCATCTATTGATTCTCATTGTTTCATACATTTACACATTTTTATTTGCAACCTAAAAGGTTCTGCCCATGCAATTAGCATGATTTAGTTGCTGCTAAGGGGGGAATGCGGAGTGCCCCATTCTCAGTTATTTTCAGTGGTTAACCTTTGCTGACTGCGTTTGTGACGCATTCCGAACAATGCAATTGGTTGCCATTCATTTCAGTTGCTGTTGTTCGTGAAACAGGGGCAAGAGATAAGTTTTTACAGTGGGAAAGCTGTTAAAGTAATTTTATGTTATTAACGCTCAGCTACTAGTGGACCAAGGAATGACTGTTCTGTGCATTCATAGTCACTGATCTTTCTCCTGATGCTTTATGTCCAAATAAAGGGTTTCAAAAGGGCCTAAGCCCGGAGCTGTTGACCTGCAGCCTATAGCTACCGAAAGGGAAAAAAAGCAAAAGAAAAGTCTGATATTTTTATTTCCACAACTAAATTAGATAATGTAATCAATGCTTATCTCATGTCAGATTCTATAATTGACAGGTATTTATGGTCCAGACAAAATCTACACAACTGGAATAACGCACTGAATGATAAATTGTGGTAAACTGAAAAAGGAGTTACACCATTTCGGCAAAAATTTAAAAAAAGGTTTTGACTTTACTTTTGTAATTCAGATAGTATATCATCAATGCTTTACACGGCTATCCCAGGATGCAAAGAGAAAGGGCTGTCGCACTGTGTGGGTTAGCCAAGTATTCCTTGGCAGCAGAGCTAACATTCCAATTCTTTCTCTTTTTTGTTCCATTGCCCCTTAGAAAGAGAGCAGGTAGGCGGCGGTCAATATTGTGAGGTAGGGATCCTAACTCTGTCCAGTTGACCGTAACACGCCTGACTGGGATGTCATTGTGTTGACAGGACGTAGAGTTGCGTGTGAATTTTATTTGGAAGGCGTTATATTTACAGTCCTTCTGTGAAATCGTTACCTCAACCAGTTTATTTTGCCCAAGGATAGTGGAGATAAATTTTGAGCTGACACATCAAAACTATCTTGTTCCACCTAGCAAAGTGCTGTTCTAACTCTGCTCATAATTCGTGCTCATTATCTCTATTTTTCACTAGTGAATTTAAATAAAGCGAATTGTGGAATTCATGTACTATAGTTAAGCGGAGTTGGAGAATCTTTTCAAAGCAGCATGTTTTCCTTACTCTGTCAAATCACTTTTTTATTTTTTGTGAGTTAAACCTCTTTAACTGCTTTTCAGAGGTGATCATAAATCCTCTGTCGCGTAAACAAACAGAACATAGACTGATATGAGTCTGGGAGCGTTATCAAACCTCAGGGTTAAAATGTACACAAACTGCACAAGAAGAAATTAATAATAATACATTTTAGTGATGCTATCTGTGTTGCCATGGTGATGACATCCCATTTTATCTTAAGGTTCGGAGTGTCATGAAATGTAACTTTTCACTTTATTTTACAGGTTTTCAAAGCTTAAATAAGCAAAGGGTTGTCCCTTCCCATCCGTGCCTGGAGCAAGATGTCCACTTCTAGTTACCGGGAAAATGGCAGCGTCTCGGATAGGGACAATGTCTTCATTGAACGCGTGAGGAAGTACAGTCCAGTCACCAAGATGGTTCAAGTTCTGGATGGCAATTCTGTTCTCCCAATGTCTCCGAGTGCTCATTCACCTGGTCCTAGCTTTCAGACGATGGCATGGGGCCAAGAGCCAGTTCATCATATTCAGGTAAGAAACAAAATCCTAGTTCTCAAATTTAAAAGATTTTTTTTTTCTTAATGTAATTTGACACTTGTCTCCTTATAATCGCGTTCCATGGAACGTAAAACATATTGGTGAATGGTTCTATCCGCATGGAACGCAATTTAATAGACTAGTATCAGGATTAAAGGTTTCATTATACACAGGCATGTGGATAAGAATCTTTTATTTTACTTCTTTTTTTGTTTATTTGCTGTAACTCTTAACTTAATTCAACAATTCTCAAACTTGGTGGCAGATTAAATCCAAGAAGTAACCATAGCCCATAAATATATTGTATATTTGGGCAGATCCATCGCTGGTGGTAGAAGGTGTCCACAAATCCTTGAAGTTGTAGGTCTATCATTGTATTTGGAAAGGATGTGTGGTAGGCTATGTCTGTTTATTATACTAAGGTTGTACTGTTGTGTTGAGTAAGAAGTTTATGAATCAATGCATTGTTTTTTTCTCCTTATGTCTAGATTAAATCCATGTTGAGACAAGTTTTGTAATAATAAGCACCAGAAACTCAGTAAATAAATCACACATGTTCTTTAATTTGAGACCTAGAACCATGTGTGAACATTTTATTTATTTGTTGTGATTCATCTTCATTGATTCAACCATTGAAGAATCTCACAACCATGGAATACCCATTCACAGTAATAAGTCAAGTGATGCAGTGTCTTGCAATACCTGTTTGTTGGACAAATGAATGGAACAAAGATCTTTAGGGAGATCCCACCCCTCTGCCATTCCCCTTTATTATATCTTCAGCATAGACTTAAAGGGACCAACTTAGACAGAACTTATACCAGCATGCCCAATTACAGATTTTGAGAATTTTGACTCTCAGTTCAGTCTCATTTTGTTACATCAATTGAGTTTACCTTTTGATTTATTCTGACCAGCAAATACAGCTACTCCCATCACCACTATCCACATTTTATCACATTTGTTTAGATGTGTGTTGTTTATATTTATGATTTTTTTTATGATGATACCCTTTTGGTATTTCTTTAGTTTTATTGTTTTCAGCGTCACCCTATTGTGGACACTGCCTAATGGTCGTTTATATCTCTGAATTTTTGTTCTATGAACCTACCTGTTTCTTTAAATAATGGAATGATCCCAGATCCTTGTAAACATCCTTAAATGGACACTATAGTCACCAGACCCCCTACCGCTTAATATAGTGGTTATTTTTAATGTTTGCATTGCTGCCTATTAACACCTCTAGGTGCAGTCACTGAGACAACCACTAGAGGTGCTCCCTAGTCCAGTGCTGCACGGTGTGCAGCACGTACATTCAGCGTTTGCACACTCTGCAAACATGATACATTGTTGTCTTTCTACTTAACATGAGCATGTAAATATTGACATTATATTTATAATTACCATATCAACGCGTTGTTTGCAGAGTTCTTCAGCTTGCTTTGCAAAATGCGTTGCTACAGGGAGCTGAGATTTTATATTTCAATGTTAAATGGCATTGGAAAGCAACATTAGATAATCCAGTGGTGTCTAACGTTAATGTCTTTTAGTAATACTACTTTCTTCTTTGAATAAATACCTCCTCTAGGGAAATACTTCGTTTCCTTCAGTTTCAGCTTGTCTGTAGTTTGTTTTTTGTTAATAAGATCCCAGTCTTTTAGAAGAAAACTGCCACACCTTCTGGTCTCTCGTGGACACTAATAATGAGATGTCCTGTTTGTGTTACTTTGTTTACTTGGGGGTTTACAAAGTTGCACAGCTTAAAAGAGACTTCAAGTTCAGCCTTTCTCACATCTGTTTTTGTTGTTGATCCAAAAGAATGCAAAAAAAAAAAAAAAATCAGTCAATTTTGCAACAAACCTTAAAAACATCCTTCTTGACCCCAAAATGGTGGTCAGATATCTCCTTCGATCAAGGAGCTATTAACCCACTAATTAGAAATTATATCCCTGTATGTTATGTTTTTGCAAGTATTTATCCAATTGCTGTTTAAACATCTGTATGGACTCTGATAAAACCACCTCTTCAGGCAGAGAATTCCATATCCTTATTGCTCTTACTGTAAAAAAAAATAAAATATGTTTTGCCTTAAACTAAAATGTCTTTCTTCCAGTCTAAACGCATGACCTCATGTCATGTCATGTACAGTCCTGTTTATCTACTAAAGTTGGACTTACAGGAAATAGAAAGTGCGATTGCAAAGTTTAGGTCAAAATTGGCAAGTTGGATAAAAGGCTTGGCTGGAGAATTTACTTAGTTATTCCCAGTTTAGAGAACGAATTGGAAACTGGATTGTAATTCTACACCGCTGGGCTGTTTTGGCCTAAATCTTGCAATTTTGTGTTCTGTGCACTACAATTCATGGTGCATATTTAAAGGTATGAGAGTATATAAATTATTTATTATGTTAAAAATTACTTACAGGGCTATTCAGAACAGTGAGAGTTGCCAGGAATTCAAAGTGAATTTTCAAAACGTAGCTAACAATAGCCAAATTAGAAAGATTCTCCAGGTCAGTTGGGCTTTCAGTTGAGATACTTTGCCTTTTGGCTATACAGGTACTGGCGGAGGCTCATGGGAGGCATAGTTTGAAATCAGTTGGAATTCATTTGTTGGCAAACATTAGAACTTAAATTGTTCTTTTTAAATTCAGCTAAAAGGCTTTGAATTTCTATTTTGTCTGCTAGTTATTCAGTTTATATTTCTGCTTTAACAGAAGCTTTTACTGTTAGAAATACAAAGATGTATTCCTAACACTAAAGGGTCAATCTGCCCACCCCCACCCACATTGCAGCCTTCTCTGTTGCCAAGTAAAGGGAGAAATAGCCCTTTTTTATTTACCTGATTCCAGCGCCAAAGTCCCTAAGCACCAGGTCGGCCTCTTCCTCCACCGAGTTCAGCCAATAAACCTAATGCACATGCAAGGCTTGCGCCACCAACACATTATTCCTTCACCATAGGAAGGCATCGAGTCAGTGCTTTCCTATGGGGTCTTAGACACTGGACAGCCTCATGCGCAGCGTCAATTCATGGAGTTAAACTCTGTGACTGGCCAGGAAGCCGCTTTAGTGAGTGTCTGGTAGACAGCCACAAGAGGCAGTCTTAACCCTTGCTCTAAAACTACTTTTGCAGCTTCAGGAAGAGGACAGGGACCGTGTGCCCACACCACTTCAGTGAGGTTAAATGGTCTGGATGCCTATAGTGTCCCTTTAATAAACAGGATGTAAAGGTTGCACAGTCAGGTCCACAGGTTTAAGCTAGACAGTGTGTGTATGTGTGTGTGTGTGTGTGTATGTGTGTGTGTGGACTTTTAAATACACGAGAGTGCTGATACCTGCTTTCATGGATGGATACTACTAGCCATGCTATGCGAGCACCCGGATACTAAGGGACTTTAGCGTGAGTCCAAGAGCCATTTTCTTTTTTTCTATGTATGTGTGTATACACATACATACAGATTAATAGTCTTGTGGAGGCTTGGATATTCAATCTTGACAGACCCAATGCTCTGTCACTTGAAAATAAATGTTACATTAATTGTGGATAAAAAACAGTCTATAGATTGTGTTAATATGTTCCCTAATTAGCTGAGCATTTAAAATATATTCATAATGGAATTCTACATACATCTTCCTGTTTCTTTCATTTTGTATTTACCCTGTTTACATGATTGGCTGATGGGTTTGCATCCTGTAGTACGTTTTATAACTTTTCTATCGCTCGGGATGAAGGCGGAGGGTTACATTTACCTCCAATGTTCCAAACATTAAATGTTGGCTAGAATGTAAGGAAGGGTCATGTGTTATTATATGCATAGTATATTATCATAAGACACTGTCACATACCCAGCTAAATTGCAATAACACTCCCCCTAGACATTATAGTCAGTGAAGTGCTGTCATATCAGATGAAAAGTGATGATGGTCACTAACAGGGCTATTCACTGAATGAAGTCTAAATGATTGGAAATGAAAGTGGAGTCAAGGTGAATTTATGATTTTTGACTGAAACTGATGTAAGAATTCTCCTGGTCAGCTATGGTTTGAATTCGGCCATAATAAAATTGGAAGATTTAAAAATTTTATGAAACACTATAATGTTAGGAATACATATATGTATTTTCAACACTACATACAAACAATAGTTTAGGTCCCCTCATCTCTATGAAAAAAAAATGAAATAAACAAATAACTCACCTTTTCTCTAGCGCCTAGTCTCCCTCGATGCTGCCAAGCCGCCCGCTTCCTCGTCGAGGAGCACATATGCTCGCTGCAATGCTTCTATAATGCCTCCAAAGTGAATAATTGAATACAATGATTCTCTATGGCAGACTGTGGCGGCACTGTGTTGTAATGAAATGATATATTACGGTATGAGAGCAGGGAAGTAAGCCAGATTGCTTGGAAGTGTGGTTCGAAGCTGCGATTTCAAGCCTTCCATTTACTTTAATTTTGGATTTTATGAAGTAGGACGGGGTGGGGGAAAGCAGGACCTGCAGGCACTATAACAGCTTCAATAAGATGGAGTTGTTAAAGTGCCTCCAGTGTCCTTTTATTATTAATGGTGTTTGTCAACATTCTATATATAAAATATTCATCTGGTTTCCATGGTGACCGCTTTGCCTCAAAACTCGTCCTTCTACTTTAACTGCTTTTTGTGGGATGCACTATGTTTATCATTCATGGTTGACTAACCATGGTGTGAGTTGAAGGCCACAGGTTCTAGACAGTTTGATGACATATTATTGGCTTTGTTTATAGTTTGTCTCCTGGCTACTCTCTCCCACGTTGGACTATAGCCACGTGTGCTTTAGAAAGCAAATTGTAAAATAATAAGAGTGGCATATTCTATTTCTACCTGCAGTTTGTAGCCCTGGAGTATCCCCGTCTGCGCTGAGTATTACAAAACTGACAGGGTTATTCACAAAACTTCTAAACTGACATTCAAATTACAATACCTGGGCTGAAATAGCCAAGCCGTCTCTATTGCTGAGTTGGAGAATAGTTTTTTCCAGACCCGCTATTGTTGCCAAATGGTTTCCATCTCGATTTAACTTCAACACTTCAGTTTATTGAATAGACCCCACAGGGTGTAGCTTGAAATGTAAAAATGCTGGTCTTTATAATGCACGCATGCATTGCCCCGCTCTGTTACAGAAATAATAAGTAATACAGTAGCACATTTTAGGATCTGTGCTTTGAGTGTAGGCTACTCGCTGGGTTAAAGGGCTTTGCCCCAAATCTGGAGGCCTTGTCTCCTTTACTGGTAGGACGTCCTCTGTCATGCAAGCCTCCTCCCCAAGCCCAGGTTTTGGAAATGAAGTGTAAGATAGGTATTATATAGAAATACTGAATTCCTACTCTGCTTGATGTATTTTAGATAATTAAATAATAAAACAAATCAATTGGCAGTGGATTTAGAATGACACTGACATTTAATATAATATCGGTCATTTAAAGGAACCGACTGGGTTAATTTTGGGTAGTAGTTTCCCTTTTTCCCATTACCAGCGGTAAAAGGCAATTTATTATACAGTTCCCACATCTGTGTAATAAAGGACACATTATATAGGAGAATGGAATTTAAACGTGGATGTGTCTTGAGGCTTCTAGATGGGAATGAATGAAGAAGATAACAATTAGACTGAAAATCTGTACTGTTGGTAAAGGCAAGGTATGGACAAAAAAGGGGGGAGGGGGCAAAAGGAAATGTTTGGTGTCTAAAATGTGAAAGCTTTGCAAAACAGATTCTATTACCAGAAAAAAAACTTTGCAAACTGCAAGTACAGAAAATTGCACAGAAAACGTAACAGTAAAGAAAAAGTGTGTGTGTGTATAATGCATATAAATATATATAATACAGGGGAGGTACACAAAAGGCACAATAAATTTAATTTAGTCAGGGTTATTCACTAAAGTGAGAATTCAAAGTGAAAACGTCTCTGTCAGCTATGCTGTCAATACTCCCTATTTAAAATTATGCGTTATTAATTATGCATTTTTTGTTTTTTAAACTGAGAACATATCTAAAAAACAGCTGGCAAAAGCTGCAGATCTTTTATCCTCCCTTTGTAACTCTGCCCAGACTTTCTGTGTCTGTCTAATGACAGACTTCCCAATGCAGCTCAATGAGAAGTCTTTGCAAGGCAGGTGCTCTGGGCAATTGCTGCCTCTTGAGTTTAGCTCCACTGAGCTAACCAAACCAGGAAGTAACAGGTCCGGTTGTCTGATTGACAGCCGGGGGGGAGGGACGGTGTAACCAGGTTAATTCATAAAAGTGCAAATTTCTATAGACATCTGCATTTTTTATAAAATAAAAAAAATAGAGGATACACTCTTCATATATAATGCATTTCAGCTAGCTAAACTGCTTTAAGTATGTCCCTTTAACACTTCGGGGCTTGATGGAAATGTTGCTTTGTGAAAACAGAGATTGTTTATCTAAAAGTGGATGTTGTCCAAGGCAGCAAGATAGCAGTGAGAGCTCTGGCAGAAGAGACCCTAGAGTTTGCAAGACCTTAGGCGAAACGTGAATATGAGGCCATGGTTGATGCGCTCATATTGACATCAAGGCTCCCGCAAGTGTGAGACCTTAGGTTGCTGCCTAACTGGCCTAATTATAGAGACACTTCTGAGTTAAGCTTTAAACTGCTCCAGGAGGGACTGTTATAATTAACAATGATCTCTATGCCAAGTAGACACTTACAGTAACATACCAAATGTAAGTAATTTTAGCATTTGGAGTGCTAGGATGTTGGAATAAAATGTGTTGTATATAGAGGAGAATAATCTCAATTTACATTAATAGTGCGTACACTGCATGACGCATGTCCGTGTGCAATCTATCCCATGCAAAGTCTAAAATATCTGCTGTAATGTTACAGCATTACAGTGTTCAATGGGAACTCTTTTTAAAGTGACCCAGTGAACCCAAAACACAACCCCGGAGTACAATGTTTTTACATGGTCAGATCAAAGTTAGTTTGTTTATCCAGCTCCATATTCCTGTGAAAAATGTAAAGATCACGAGTTAATGTGTCTTGTAAAGAATTCTGTTAACCGTTTAATGCCACCAGCCAATATAGTGAACTATGAGGGTTTTCATCCGTTCTGTATCTCTGAATATTGGGGCCCTAAATCTCTCTTCCTCCTCCCTGCCATGGTGCCTTCTTCCCTCGAAGCTGCTATTTTTTATATGTATAAAAAATATCTAAATGTTCATCATTAATAAAGCCCACAATATGTGTTTCAAATGAAATTAACTTTCAGTAAAGATCGACTCCAGGAGCTTTAAGACTGTCATTATGCCATGAAGTCACGTTAACGAGGAACTTTGTCACATCTGAGATTTTTACACATCTTTAAATAAAAGTTACTTATGGGTTATGCACACTTCTAACGTTTTCCTGCTTCGGAGGGGCAGTCCCTATTTTGGGCCCGAATCCCTCTGTCCCTTTTTCTACCCTAATGTCCCTCTTTTCTATGAGGGGGTCCGTAATGTTGGTGTGTCTGAGCTCCACAGCAATAATACTCCCAGTAATGTGTCTTTAAACTACAGTAAATGTATTTAGTAATCAGTCTATGTAAACACGATACATTGTTCTAAATTTAGCATACATTGCTATTAGTAAGTCTCCTAAAATTTCTCAGTGCAACCTCACCCTTGGCCATACCCCTGCTCACACCCCTAAAATTAAAGAGTCTATTTGAACTGTAGAAAGTAATGGTAATACATTTTTTTTTTCTCTGTACCGTATTTCCATTTTTATATATTTTTTCCTTTTATACCTAATTTAATGTTTATTCTATATCTGGATGTTGTGGCACGGCCAGAGAATGCCATGCAAACCATACAGGTGCACGTGATACTATTTAAGGTATACCTACATGCATATGCAATCTCACAGCAATTCTCTGTAGATACCTGAGCACACATGAGTATGACTGCGATATTATGGGGTAATGTTGTCACCTTTGACACAGAAGTGTTTCAAAGGCTTTTTTTTGGTATTATTTATTTTTTTACTCTTACGTCTACTGTACTACAATAGTATTTACAGGTTATAGGGGCAGATGATCTAACACATCCAGTGACAGTTCTGCTTTAAAATACCTGGAGTTGCTCAGCCTACCTGTCAACCTGCAGTCACACCTTTTAAAGCAAACGTGTCCACTTTGTCCATTTTGAAACATTGGCAGGTGTGACACCTACACAGGTTCCCTGGTTTATAGCTCTAATATAGTGCAGACTGTATATTCTTTGCAGATTAAAGGTAAGGTGCGGCACGTACAGGAATTGATGATTGACAACACTCTTGATAAGGGCTTGTTTCAGTCTTTTTTTATTTGTTTTTTGTGATTCAACACCCACTGAGGTTATAGGTGAGGCGGTTTAGTTTTTTTCGAGTGTGTTTTGAGCACTTGTGCCTGCCATCGAGTCTGCGGAAATATCAGACTGCTGTGCAAACGGTGGCTCCTGGGACAGCAGCATTTAATTTTCTTAAAGGAACACAGAGAGAGGGTTAATTCTTTGGCTCAAAGTTCTAAAAGTGGATACTTTTGGGTAGGGCAGCTCTGGAAACACTTGCTACATTCTGAGGCTGAATCGAATACGTTATGGACGGCAGAGGATATGTGCAAAACCACGTTTATACAACAGGAAGAATACTACAGGTAAAAACAAAATTCAATCCTTTCTTTCTTTCTTTCTACTAGTATGCTGGCTAACAATGTATACAATAATTTTACAGATTACATTGCATTGCCTACCTGAAAAGGATCTAACTATTCCGAGTTTTACTTTAAATGGCTGTCCATTTAACCCCTTAAAGACCAAACTTCTGGAATAAAAGGGAATCATGACATGTCACACATGTCATGTGTCCTTAAGGGGTTAAAGAGCCAATCCATGCACCATAACCACTACAGTTTATAGTAGTTTATGCTGCATAGAATATTTAGATGCAGCCTTTCTGGGGTTTTTGAGCCACCTCCAGTTCTCCAAATGTGCCATTGCTATACAAATTTGGATGGACTTTTATGAATTTTGTGTAACTGAAACATTAGCTATATCTTTGCAGCAGCAAAAGGTCTGGTCTTTGGATGCCTGGAGCGCCCTGGTTTTGTCAAAGCGCTTGCTTTAGTAAAAACAGCGTGACAAAGTCCTGAGGCAGTGCACCCAAAGACTCCTTACACCATAACTACTTTAATACAAGCTGAGGTGGTTATGGTATTTGAAGTGCCCATTTAACATTAAATAGAAGTTTAGAGTCTCTCAATTCTGAGTTTTCATGAAAAACAGAATTAGAACTAATTGGAGAGCCAAGTTATTTACTAGTCACAATAATCTATAGTCCTTTTTATCCTTTATGTTGTTTATGTGCGTCCTAAGGAAGCAGATGGCTGAGCTTCATGAGATGCATAGTCCACAGGAGCTAGGTGGCAATGTGTCTGATTGATTCAGGGCTGAAGATTTTTGCAATATCTGGGCCAAACTTACTTTACATTCCTATCCTGTTGTCAGCCAGCCTCTCCCTTTTTTAGCAAACTAAATGCTTTTTGTTCTAGTAGAAAGTGAAAAAAAATAAATCTGTCTTCATGTTTTTGTTTTTTCTAACAAGCAACCATTGTATAGTGGTGTTACACCCGCCACAGGATTCCCCAGAACAATTGAAGTTAGGGAGCATAGTCCATTGCTGTCTGGTCTGCAGCTCTCCAACCACACCTGCTGGCACAGGTCCGAAGCAGAGTAACAGGTGTACTAGCTTGAGCAAGAATCTCCGAACCTACAGAGATATTTCAGGTGCAATTGGAATATCCAGACTTGGGGGCTGCTTGCTAAAGCCAGAATGCCACTGTTCGGGTTAGCAAAAATAATCTGGAAAACTGCCCGGGGGTTTTCTGACTGCAAAATCTTTACATTATTTGCAGAGCATTATAAATGCATTTTATCTGATTTATTTCAAGTAATTATACTTTTAATTAATATGATTTGATGTTTTTATATACATTCTAAACCTTTCTCAGCTGGCTGGGTGCATGTATCGGTTTTCAGTAGGTTCGCCAGATTTTTTTGATTAATGTGTGACTCCCCTATAATCCACATAAGAGAATGGCAGATTGTAAAACAGACACGGGATGGTACAGAATGAGATGTGGTTACTTAGGTAAAATAACTGGATTTGCTTTTCGTAAATCTGCAAATTGCAAAATCAGTTGAACTTTGATTATTTTTCCAGCCTGAACCATATTCAGACGTTAGTGATTAACCCGACAATATCTAATGAACACGACTTAGCCATGAACGTTTCATTTATTGTGTTTGTTTTTTTTTAATTCTTTATTTAACGGAAAAAAGGTTTTTCCGTTTCACTCACCTCAATAAACAATATGCCAGTATACACAGTTTTAGGAGTGATGAAAGGTAGATTTTCAAATGACCATAAAAAAGAAAAGTGTCTAAGATCTGGATTACAGCCAAGTGATTTTGAATTTGTATTTTTGTTTTCAAGGGATGGCCCATTAATCTTATAGTGGGTTCCAAACCAAAATATCAAATTAAAAATGTGAATATAATTGTCAAACATTCTGTTGTGTGATGCTCTTGTTGTCATTGTTATTAGAACCTGAACAGTGTTTCTGTAATACCAGTAAAGTGTTTATATATTTTTTTATGGTTTTAATCAAACCTTTTTCCTTTTCTCGTATCTCAGTTTACTTAATTTGTATCGTGTTAAAGTTTATTTGCAACTGGTGGCAACTTAGGTAAATCTATTTTGACTTGGTGTATCGAGGAACAGATGGCATACAGGGAAGGGAACTGACTGGCAGACTTTGCCAATTCCAGTTCTTAAAATGTCACAGTGTAACAAACAGTGTATCTGACTTCCTAGTGTAGCTGAAGTAGGTAGCAGGATAAAATGATAAACTAGTAGTATAACCGCTGACGTGGGCGTACTCACAGTTTGAATTTGTAACGTCCTATTGAGGTGTTCAGTTTTAATAACTGTGGCTCACGTGTTTGTGTGTGAATAAATTGTCTGCTTGGCTGGGTGTTGGCACATGGCTTAATGAATAGTGTGTGGCCTCTCCCAGTATTACTACATCCCTTAAAGAAACAGTCTAATAAAAATATATATTTTTTCAGTTGTCTGTTCTATTATAAGATTAATGGGGCCCTCCCTTTAAAACAAAAATACAAATTCACTTAGCTGTAATCCAGATCTTAGACACAGTCCTCACAGTAACTCGATCCACCCTCGCTGATGCAATTAAGATTGATTACTTTTGTCTAGTCATGCAGTTTCCCATAGAGAAGCATTATTTATTTATGTGCAAAATGGAGTACATTAGAAAATAATAAATAAATAAACTAAAAATAAGAATTTAATTGTTTCGGTGCTTAGGTCCATGGTACCTACTTGTGCAATCAACACTTACACAATAATACATGATTAGACTAATTCTGATTATGAAGGAGTTAAACGATAATTGAAGAGTTTGTTTTTTTTTTGTTTTTTTTAGACAAAACCCAGCAATGTTGGATTTTTTTATTTTTTTGACTCAGGATATTTTGGGCCACAGTGAAATGCCTGGAATGTTTAATTCTACCCCTGCTGACAGTTTGTATTACGATACTTCTCTTTTTGGTGGCTACGCAAAATAGACATTTACTGGATTTTTTGATAGCAGTGACAACATATAAAATTCTTTGTGCCATACACTTAGAATACAAGTTAACTCCATTTTCCTGTAATAATACTCCATGACTTATAACCTTTTCTTAATTTTAGACCTGTTACATAAGACATGAAAAATGGCAATTTGTGTTCTTTCAAGAGGCAGTCAGTTGCTATTTTTTTAATTTATGATTTTTATTCCTTCTTTGTTCCTCTGTTCATCCATTTATATTTATTTATGTGCAAAATGGACTACGTTCTCTTTTGGAGAGTTTTACTTTTCTTTGGAAATGATAATATATTGTATTAGAGTTGTTTATTTGTTAAACGCTAAATTGTAGAAAATTTTAATTCGAATGGCAAAAATGACTGACCAGGAAAATAGGTTTAGCTTCTTTCATTTTTAAAGCTCTCTCATTGTCCACCAAGCCCTGCCCCCCTTCCCCAGCCCACACCTCTGTGCCTTGGAGAACAGTCCAATCAAACGATTCTCTAGGGGAAACCTTTTGATTGGACCTCCGAGTGACGTGGCATGATGACAGACGGGGCAAGGAGTCAAATGAGGAGAACCTTATTCGGCACTGGATTTGTAACTTTTATCGTATTTAATAGTTTTTTATTTGTCATTGAAAATAAAGAGTTATATTGCCCAATAGGTAGGCCGTTTCATGAAAAAAGGTTTACAAAAGTTATAGATGCTTTTTAAATTAATTTCCTATTACGTTATGTAAATTCCATCAAAGTGGTAGTTCACCTTTAAATCATTAGAGGGTTAATCCAGGTAGTCCATGTTTATATTTCTAAAGTCAGTCAAAGCCTTTCAAGCATTTTATCTCTTCTTTGTAAATCACTGCTGGTACTTAATTACCCATAACATAGTAAGGGCTCTCAAGCAAGATTTATACTTGTTTTGATCTTTTTTTTTAAATTAAATGTAGAATGGGTTTTGTTTTAGCTGTAGGCATTCACAGATGTCAATCTCTTCATTTTGAAGAATGTAAAGAACTAACTATTAAACAAGTGGAATGGCAAGAATTTGGAGCGTAAATATGCCACTCTACAATTTACAGCAGTGTTGTCCTTCTGTTTGCTAGCTTGGGCAGAGAACCTTTTAAATGCTTGTCAGAATTATTGTTAAACTATAACCTCAATTAACTGAAGCTTATTCACTAAAATGTGAACTAAAACTCAAATTCCATAACTTTTGGTGAAAACAGCCAAAGTGGTAGTGTAGCTGCCTGGCTATTGTCTATTTTTTTTTTAAATTTATTTTTTTACTCACATTTGAGTTAAAAAATGAGGTTTATATTAAAGAATAGTCTAAACAACAGCTTTTCCAGTAAACATAAATTTTAGTCTTTAGTAATGTAGACTTTTTTTTTTTTTTTTTCTTAATTTCATTAGCCTCCTGGCATGCCTCCCAGTTCCAACTCTCGGAGTTATATAAATGAAGATCTATATGGTGGTGTTCTAGACTGCATAGGCAATGTGAGGGGGAACTTTGGGGGATTCTTTAGCCCTGAATCGTTACAGGTAGTGGAGGGCAGGAGGAATGCCAGTGTTATTTTTTTTTATTTTATTTTTTTTATTTTAATTTTGCAACTGCCAGTTTCTTTGACAAGCATTTATAAAATGAAATATTAGTAGTTTAGTGCTCTACAAGGCTACATAGGAGGAGGGGGTGGCATCCTCAGGGCAATGTCAGGAAGAGGTGCTGGGGAATATAGGTTTGCTGCACACCCCTCTATTAGTTAGGTAGTGGATCACATGAATACTGGGTTTGTTTCCGGATATGCTTTCATCACAGAGAGTATCCGCATCCTGCTGTTTATCGGTAGAGGAGATATATCATAGAAAGGCGGGGATATGACATGACATGCTCATTTCTCTGTTAGTGTAGGAGTCATTACGTTTTTCCCTTGGGCTCAAGCGCCAGGTGTTTCTGGAACCTCACAACACCCCTGCTAGACCATATCTTCTAAATTCTAAATTCCTTGCAATTCACTGTTCATAGATCTAACCCCCAGCTGCACTGAAATGGCTGCATGGGCTGATGTACTGGCAGAGTTTGTATGTAAACATATGCCTCTCTAAGTTGGCATTGTGCTGACACTAGAGATGCCAGCTAACCGGTTAGATTGTAAGCTCATGAACCTTCTTACATAGAACCTTGTATAAAGGGATATAGATGTGATAAAATAATTGGCAATCATTGGGTTCTCTAACCCATTATCTTTCAGTATGTCAATGTATGTATCCCTTGATCAGTAACCCAACCTACAGCTAATTTCTCTGTTTTGTAAATTATTTAATTAAAAATGTGCAGATTTCTGTTGAAGGGACACTCCACTCCCCCCCCAAAAAACAAACAGAAAAACAATTCATTATCTGTAGATATACCCCCAATGCAAACATGCATGTATGTTTTTCCATTGGGGGTATAGCTAAAAACAGATCGTTTGTCTGCAAGCCCTCCCCTTCTAACCCCATCCAGACTTTCTGTGTCTGTCCAATCACAGACTTCCCACTGCAGCTCAATGAGAAGTCTTTGCAAAGCAGATGCTCTGGGCAATTGCTGCCTCTTGAGTTTAGCTCCACTGAACTAAACAAACCAGGAAGTAACAGGACTGGTTGGTAGCCAATGGGGTGTAATAAGTTTAAATTGTAAAAATGCCAATTTCTTTTGAAATCTGCTCTTTGTAAAATAAAAAACAGAGGACACCCTTTTCACACCTAAAGCACTTCAGCAAGCTAAATTGCATTAGGTGTGTGAACAGTTCCTTTAACTGCACTGTGTACACCATGCACATAATCTTCAGGGCTGCAAGCAGATTAATTGATTCCTTGCTCTTTGTTCTTTGGAAATTATTTCTGACGTCTCTGAGAAGTGAGACTCATAACCTTTTTCTCGAGGAGATAGTTGAACAGAGCTGAATGAAATGAACCTTCCAACATGTGGCAGGATGCCTTATGCAATTCTCTGTTAGTGAGCGTAACATTATGAAACCTGCCTATCTCTGGTCCTGGGGGAGGGGGGTAAATGCAAACAGTAAAGTAGTACCTCAGCAGAAATGAAGACGAAAAGCCAGGTGCTCACGTTGGAAGATTGGTTTGGATGCTGGGTGACAGAAATCCTTGTTTTTAATTGTAAGAGTTTTTATTCTTTTTACATAAAATGATTGCATGATCCCGCTGATGGGACTGTGTTTTCATTTCATAGAACACAGTAGGAAAGTGTGATACAGTTTGGGGAATCCTGGTAAAATTCAGACATTAAAGGAATTGCCCAGATGTTTTGAGTATGTTTGTATATTTGTGAAGTCGTTCTTTATTTGTGAGTGCGGAAGCCTTACTTTGTTCCCTATGAGGACTGTTTTTACTGATTTTTAGGCTGCATTATGTAAAATTTTATAGTTTTTGGAAGTTGCAAGTACATGTAAATATCCAAAGACGAGTGAAAACATTTTGTGCACCAATACATGTATTTTATAATTTATTTGTTAGATTTCTGGAGCATGGCAAATTTTTTTCCTTCTTCTTGATTTTTTTCTTTTTCCACTTTGTTTGGTGTGTATAATGACTGCAAATCTCTAACGTATATTAAATTTTAATTGTTACTGGAAACAATCCTTGTAATATGTATTTTGTGTTACATTTTGCGTGTCAGGCACCATTCATTCAGGGCTATATGTGACAGATGGTCATTGAGGAAGGAATCAATAGAATTTGATTACTATACAGTGAATAAATAAATTTAAAGGATCACCATACTGTCAGGAAAACAAACTCGTTTTCATGACACTATAGTGCCCTCACCCTCAGGGTCCTCCCCCTCCCTTGGCGCTGAAGGGGTTAAAACCCCTTCAGCAGCTTACCTTAATCAAGCGCCGGGCTCCCTCGGCGCTGGTGACCTCTCCTCGCCCGCCAACGTCAGCGCTCGAGTGGAACAAAACGCGCAGTGCTTTCCTATGGACGTTCTGCAGGCTGGATGCACCTCTAGCGGCTGTCACGAAGACAGTCACTAGAGGTTGGATTAACCCTGCCATGTAAACATAGCAGTTTCTCTGAACCTGCTATGTTTACATCTGAAGGATTAAAACCTGAGGGACCGGACACCCAGACCACTTCATTGAGCTGAAGTGGTCTGGGTGACTATAGTGTCCCTTTAAATCCCAAAATGCAGATTGAAGTGGCCGAACTGTGACTAGCTGAGTAGAAAAATTATTGCAACTCTGCTATTTTGGGCTGAATTTTCCAATTCTGTGTTCAGTTCATTCAAATGCACTGCTTGATTAAAAACAAACAAAAACTGTTTTATGTAAATAGAGAGGATTTTAGATTTTGTATTCACACCCTAAGAACTTTTGTTTTCTGGCGTCTCCCATAACACACATGCAAACTAACAGGTAGTATGGAGAATGCTGTTTGTTTTGTGTAGCAGAAGCTTCATAGAGAATGATTCACTGTTCTGATAAACATTTACAGGTTATTTACTAATGTATAAATTCACAGTGAATCTCAGACTTAAGGACAGAGTAACTGAATGGAGATTTTTTTTTTTCCAGTTTGTCTAATTTGATCTGAAATTTGAAATTCACCATTAAATCTCACTTGAATAATGTGGATTTGTGTATGCGACCCATTCCACCGGCACTGTTTGTTTAAGAGGATAGTAGCAGACTGGTCTCTGATATCCTGCACTGCTTGGTACCCCCGGTTTTTATAAATTTTTATGCACCATATAAATAAGCCTTTTCTTTCTTTTCTTAATTTATATTAGGAGAGACATTTGAAAGTTACAACAAAGATCAAAACTGCAAAGTATAGTATCAAAAACCAATATACTGTATTTTAGATATAAAAGGCAGATCTACGTAGACCTTCCTGAAAACTGTTAATATATATTAACCCTCCAGTCAGTAGATGAGTCGACTAGGTTAACATTACAATATTCTTAAAGTATTGGCATGTTTATATGGTGATGATCTCAATAATCAAGTGAAGTAGGATAAGGCGAAAAGTCCTAACATGTCCCATGTCAAAATCTGCTTGTCTGGCAGCTTTCTCTGACAACTGACATTATGGATCGCCATATGAGTTCTGTCGGAGAGAAAAAAAATGAAATTTAGTAAAAAGGGAATGAACAGCCACCTAAAGTATTACATCGGTGCACAAGACTTTCAGGCAGTGTTAGTCCACCGTTTATTGGCAATCCATACACCAGACATGTTCACAATACCCCAGAAAAACATACAATGTGAGTTAGCACCAAACCCAAATACAGTTTATTCTTGTAACATGGAGGCCTATTGGGGAGGCTGGTGGTAAATTCATTTTATAGTGCAGCCAGATTTCTGTATAGATTTGTGGAATGCTTGTTTTATTCGCAAATAGCCATAAATATTGTTCATATGATCCAATTCCCCCGGAACACTCTGCAAAGCATGAATTATGGCAACAAATTCAATCTTGTTTGGTTCTTTGACTCACAACCTGTGATACTTTGAAATGAGAGCTGTGCATTCCAGGGGAAACACCTGTGTAATTAACAGGACTGTTTAAATATGTTGCACTAAGTGTTGTGTTTGCAGCTCCTTGTACACTGAGGCTGGGTTGCAGGTGTTGAGTTCAGAGTTAATTCTTCTTCACACTCTCTATCAGTTTCATTATTTGTTTGAATACCATGAGCGGCTTGAATACAACTAGATACAATTATTAAGCGTTGGGTGTGTGAACTCTGCTGCTTAATCATTTTGTTATTTATTATTCCGTCCTTACGGTCCCACAGTGGGCTGCATCTGGCACCTAGCAGTAAACACCCAGCAGTTAGCACTCTTAGGAGTTGATTCACTCTTTAGTTTTGTGGTGAATCAGAAAAATTACAGTAGATTGCAGAATTCAGGTAAAAATTAGTAAGTTGGAAAAAAATTCTACCATTTGGTTAATTTTCACACCTGAATATTGTGTCCTAAATTTTAACAACGTGGTTTTCAGTTTCCGTCAATTCACTGTTTAACGTGTAAATCCTTCTGTGTTTAATATTCTACTTGTTTCCTGGCAATGTTACATTTCACCTAACTTCCTGGCATCCTCAATATCTCACCTTGGTGCCTAGCAACCTCAGTATCTTGCTTTACTGCTAGGCATCCTCAATATCTCACCCTGGAACCTAGCAACCTCAGTATCTCGCTTTACTGCTACGCATCCTCAATATCTCACCCTGGTGCCTAGCATCCTCAATATCTCACCCTGGTGCCTAGCAACCTCAGTATCTCGCTTTACTGCCTGGCATCGTCAATATCTCACCCTGGTGCCTAGCATCCTCAATATCTCACCCTGGTGCCTAGCAACCACAGTATCTCGCTTTACTGCTACGCATCCTCAATATCTCACCCTCGTGCCTTGCGATCTCAGTATCTCTCTTTACTGCCAGGCATCCTCAATATCTCACCCTGGTGCCTAGCATCCTCAATATCTCACCCTGGTGCCTAGCAACCTCAGTATCTCACTTTACTGCCTGGCATCCTCAATATCTCACCCTGGTGCCTAGCATCCTCAATATCTCACCCTGGTGCCTAGCAACCTCAGTATCTCACTTTACTGCCTAGCAACCTCAATATCTCACCCTGGTGCCTTGCAACCTCAGTATCTCGCCTTACTGATAGGCATCCTCAATATCTTACCCTGGTGCCTAGCAACATAAGTGTCTTTCTTTACTGCCTGGCATCCTCAATATCTCACCCTGGTGCCTAGCAATCTCAGTATCTCGCCTTACTGCCTGGCATCCTCAATATCTCACCCTGGTGCCTAGCAACCTCAATATCTCACCCTGGTGCCTAGCAACCTCAATATCTCACCCAGGTGCCTAGCAACCTCAGTATCTCACCCTGGTGCCTTGCAACCTCAGTATCTCGCCTTACTGCCAGGCATCCTCAATATCTTACCCTGGTGCCTAGCAACATAAATGTCTTTCTTTACTGCTTGGCATTCTCAATATGTCTCCATGGTGCCTAGCAACCTCAGTATCTCTCTTTACTGCCTGTCATTCTCAATATGTCACCATGGTGCCTGCCAACCTCAGTATCTGGTCTTAGTGCCTGGCAACCTCAATATCCCAAACAGCTACCTTTTATTTTGTGATTTTTAAATGTCTTACATGCTGGAAAAATATAACTTTAAAACCTCTGGTCCTCCTCTCTTATCATATACTCTTTTGCGTACATGCTCTTTCTCATTCTCAGAATGTCTGTTGTGAAATACCATTGGGTTTCCTAGGCAGGCGTTTCTCTAACCATCCGGTTTAGCTCATTAAAACCTGTGATGACATCCCAGATTGTTTTATAGGGTCGATTTGTTATTTAAAAGTGTTAATTGTGGCACTGTATGTCATTACCAGTATCTCCACTTATATTAAATAACAAGGACTGAGTGAAGTTGCTTATCTGGTTTCCTACTCATCGAGCCTGTTATACAAGAGGATTAGATCATAGATGCTTTAAGTCATGGGGAAAATTAAAAACGTAAAAAAAAACAACCACCCTAAAGGTGCCTTGGGAATTCCAACAAGGCATTTTTTGCTTGACGTCTTATTTACTGACATTGTGTTATTTACTGTGTGTTTGTGAGTGCACACCTGTGAGCTGTCCCTTCATTTTACAGTCAGTGGTTATTCACATGATGATGGTGAATGTAACTCTCTGTAATAATATTTACTATTCTTTCTTGACATTATGGTCCGATATTCATCACATACATCATCTTTATACTGATCAGCCAGCTTGCTATATCATATCATATCATTCTTCGTGTGATCCCAACAGTCCTGCCTTTTAGTGCATTAGTCTTACATACACTTGGTGTGTGTGTATATATATATATATATTTACTATCTGAGCAGTTATTAGCATTCTGTATCATGAAATACAATTATTGGTCTAGACCAAGCATGTCAAACTCAAAGGTTAAACATAGGTTAAACAAGGTTTAAGTTAAAAAAAAAAAACAGCACCCCCCCCTCTGTACTAAATCCCAGTCCCCCCCTCTGTACTAAATCCCAGTGCCCCCCTCTGTACTAAATTCCAGACCCTCCCCTTATACTAAATCCCAGCACTCCCTCTACTAAACCCCAGCCCTTTAAACAAAACCAATATTGACTACCCGTCATCGCAACACTGACCAACACACACACTCTCTGACAGACACACACAAACACTGACAGACACACAGACTCTGACAGACACACACACACACACACAAACACATGTGCACACACTCACCTCATTATATTTATTGCTCCCTACTTTTGGGAGATGGTCTTTTCTCCTTCGCTCAGTCTTCCTGCTCCCTCACGCGTGCAATTTAGTGATGCCAGGTGCCTGTGAGGGAGCAGGAAGTCTGAGCTCCTTCACTGCCACCAGGGACCTCTCCTCCCCGGCAGGGTAATTTTGGCAGAGTAGGCACCTGCAATGTGGGACGAGCAGGTGCCTACTCTGCTTTAGTAAGCATGGCAAAATTGTGGCTCGCTGGGCCGCAAAAATATTCATTGTGGGCCACATATGTCCCGCGACTTTGACATGCTTGGTCTAGACTCTAGAGGGAAAGCAGTTGGGTCCGTTGGTTTTGCTGCTCAGATTTCTTTTATTCTGTTCCTTTGTTTTTCTGCACTCTTACTCATAGGCGGCTCTCTAATTAGATGATTTAGGCGGCTACCTAAGGCCTCACACTCACTGTTCCTCGCAGCCGCCTAACTGGAGAGCAGGGCCTGAGGGCTGCCCACTATTAGGACGTGCGAGGAGTGACCTCAGTCAGCTGCTCCTCAAAATGGCACAGATTAGGAGGAGGAATAGAGAGCACCAGCATAGGTGCCAAGCATCAGATAATATTGTAGGTGGTCCTCCAGTATTAGACTGCACTAATTGTTGAAAGCCTGGGCGAAGGTTGTATCTGTGAAGGAGCTGGTCTGTATTTGCCTGTCCTCACTGGCCTTCACACTGCTATACATCAGGAAGCTGCTGAAATCACAGTTTAAGCCTCTCCCCTCCGTCAGTAAGACTTCATTGAGCTGGGGGGGAGAGGAAGAGGGAGCTATTTGGATTATAGGGAGATGAAGCTGAGGAGTGAGAGTTGAGTGTAGGGAAGATAGGGGGAGAGAGGGATATGGAGCTGAGGGAGACGCTGCCTGAAAGTCTTCCAGAGCATCAGAGTCACCATCAGGAGAGTACAGCCAGAGGCAGAACGAACGTAGAGAGACCCCGGTGCAAGATTATTATTTTGTGCGACATGCAGAGGTGAACCAGGAAGGAGTTCTTACCACTACACACAAGAGATCCTGGCCAGTTAATAATATTATAGCTTGCATTATTTTTATTATAGATGTTAGTGGGGGGCATCATGATCACGTACTGCGTAAGGCGTACGAAAGTCTAGAGCAGCCTCTTATCGTACTCACACTTTTAAGTAACAGCCCAGAAAATATCAGTGAGCAGGAAGAGTAGAATTTGTTTTACTAGAAGTACTGATCTCCGTGCTTTTTCTTCTCGATCACTAGGACCTGACAGGGCTTTTGGAATATGGGCCAGCTTACAGCAACTGTGCCCACTAGTGGATTGGGGACATGGTAGGTGAACCTAGCCCCATCCATTCCCAGTTCCCCAATGTTTCGACACGGTACGTGATAAAGACACCTATCATGTTACAATGTTGTTGAAATCTTGTTGTTTTTATTATACTAGTGATCCTTTTGAACAAGGATCAAGCTTTTGACACAGGCACCAAAACGGGTTGTGGCAAAATGAGGGAAGTGTGATGATTTTGGGTTTTTTTGGATTTTTTTTGTGGTGTATTTTTTTTATCAAACACAAAAAATAAAAAAATCATTTTCTTTTGTATACAAGTTACCGTATGTCTTGTTTATGGTTTTGTTTTTTAATATAATAGTTTTTAAAAACTGTCCATTACGTTCTATTTGGGAAGATATGTGGTGTGTGTATTTTTTGTTACAAAATACTAAATTGTTATTGATACCCTCCTTTTTTTTTTGTTCTAGGAAACACAGTCACCAACATACTCACAGGGGACCATACGAAGATACATTGTTCAGAACCCTGAACCGGTATGATGACGTTTTTTTAAAACTTATTTTTATTTTATCTTAAGAATTGTCATTGTTTTATTTATTTATAGCATACTGATTAAAATATTTAATATTTTCTATGTAGTATAGTTTTTCACAAGAAATTCTTGAAGAGTTTAAAATATTGATTGTCTTCGTTGCCTCAAATACGCCATTTATGAAAAAAAAATCAACATGGCTGAATACGGTTGTGGCGGACCGCCTGGCACTTCGACTCGGTGCCTCCGCCAATCGATGCTTCCTAGTGCTCACCGAGTACTTCCAAGCACTCCACCAGAAACCATAACCACCGTAGTCCCCACAGCCAGCGTTACAGCTTGGTTGGGGCCTCGCTGTCCTCCACCCACCCTGGACCCAAGGCCAGGATTCAGCTTCCAGTGGGTAGACCTTTCCTTCTCCAGAGATTATAGCAGGATAGCTCTTACAAGAGCAAGTGATTATAATCCAAGGGAGTATAAGGAGTATAGCAATCCCCAGAGTGAATATAGCTGTCCCCTCCACACATGAGATGAGGCTCTATGTTAAGGGTGAAGGGTGTTTTAATTGGGTCCACAATTGGCCTTATATGCAGGTCCCCATGCAAGGGGTTTTCCATAACATATTCCTGGGGCATTCCCCACTGGACCTGAGGGGGGACTATGACAAGGTACACACTTTAATTATATTGGCTCTCAGGTCCAGGACACTCCCACACAAAACAGGGTAATCCCCCCCTGTGCCTGAGAGATAATTGAGTCAGGAACTGTACTAAACTCAATTATCTCCAGGCACAGAAAACATACATTTTAACAACATCCCAAAAGTACCCCAAAACACATGAAAACCCCACAAAAGTCACATCCCCTGAGAGCCCCGATATAGGGGACCAGCATATCCAAAAATCAGCCAGATCGGTTCAGGGGTTTGAGATTTCCATGGATGTCATACTTTTGTCCAAACGTGCACATGGTCCTATGCCCAAAACAGTTCCAGGGAATCAGTGCTGACTGTCAGTCTCTCTTTCTGGAGTACAAAAGTACATAAACTGAGCCTTTTAAAGTGCATTAGGCAAGGTATATTGCAGGGCCCATAGCCCTGAGGCATGAGGCTGGCAAGCAGGCTCCTCCAGGAGCCTGTGGCGTGGTTCTGTTCGACACAACAGTTACAAACTAAATATCAATGGCTTACTTTTGTCAACTTGCTGAATAGCTACTTAATCTTCCCACCCCATAAATTAGGGTACTTGTAGCCTCACAAGAGCTCTTTATAGAAAGCTATGGGAGTGCTGGATGCACTCCTACATTGTACAATATATTTTTTGCATCTGGGAGAGGCTTGTCTTCTCCTATGTCATCAGAAAAAGAGGTGTGAGGATATAGCAAAGTGATGTAAGTATAATGAATCCGATCATTGTATTATAACTACAATAACCTGTGCAACAAGACTATAGGGTTGTGGTCCAAGTGCTTCGTGTCCCCAGAAGACTGTCACTGAAGTGTCTTTTGTGAAAAGACTGTGGCTTATTTGTAGACAAATTTAATTTTAGACTAAAACCAAAAGAGAAAAGTTCTTAGCATATTGTGCCAGTTCCTTATGCACGTTTAAATATCTGAAGTTTTTTGGTATCACTCCAATGGCCATTTTAAGTGTAAGCTCACCAGCCACATCAAGGCAAAATCTCTCAGGTGAGTGCTACACTAACAATTTACATTGCTTCTTTAAAGGAACACTATAGGGTCAGGAACACAAACATGTGTTCCTGACTTTAGTGTTAAAACCACCATCTAGACCACCTGCACCCTCTGATCACTATTATTTTGCAGGAAATATCCCCCCTCCCTCAGTAAAGGTAAGAAGGGAGGGGGGATATAAGGTTTTAGTATTATTCTAATTTAAAAATATATTTATATTTGCATTAAGCTAAACATTTTTACACACACTGCCCCCCATCCCCAAAACACACACTGTCCCCCTCACTCACACACACACATACTGCCCCCCATACACATATTCATACTGCCCTTATACACATACACTACCCCATTCACACACACACTACCCCTCACATACACTGCCCCCTATACACATACTGCACCCCTAACACATTGCAACTCTCACACACACACTGCACACCTTACAAACACATACACTGCATTCCTCAAACACACACATTGCATCTCTCACATATATTGCACCCCTCACACACAAACACACACACATTGTACCTCTCACACACACACACACACACACATTCAGGGCCGGCGCTACCATAAGGCCTTAGGGCGCACCGGCCCTGGGGGTGCAATGGAGCGCTCCCCTCTAGCCGGTTACTTTATGAAGCTCTACCCTCAAGGCAGCCTCTTACCACCGGCCCAGCTTACTGCCACCCGAGGAGCCTTCTTCACTGGTGCCTGCCACAAGCTGTGTAGAGGGGGCGGAGATATGAATGACTACATGGCTTGGAAGAAAAGACACATAAATGGATCTGGAGGGGAGGGACACACAAAACGGACTAAGGGGAGAAATAGCCACATAGAGGGGCTGTGGTGGAGAAAAAAAAACAAAGAAAGGGGCTGAGGGTAAGAGACACAAAAAGGGGATGGGTGTAAGTAAGAGACATACAAAGGAGGTTGTAAGATACACTAAATAGGAAATAAAATACACTAAAGCACAAAAGGTTAATACATTCAAAAGAGGGGATATGAAACACTAAAGCGGGTAAGAAAGTAATACATTCAAAAGGTGGGGGGGGGGGCTGGTTACAAGACACACAGGTGAAGATGCACTTTTTTTGCAGGGTGGGTGGCAAAATGCATCTTTGCCTGTGTAGCTAAAAATCCTTGCACCGGCCCTGCACACATTACTGCCCCTATCCCCTGCTACAGGCCCTATCCCAGCAGACCCCAGTTAAGTTGTCAAACGGTTCTTAAATGGGTTGACTGCTTACTCTGGGAGGGCGCCACGGAACTCCTGGAACCATAACCACTATAGAGAGCTGTAGTGGTTATTGTACCTGTAAATAATCTCCAAGTGCTCCTCCCGAGATTTGGTTCTGAATCTGCCCCTGAGGTACTGTGCAGATCAGACTTTTAACGCAGGTGCCACACACTTAGCATAAATCTTGCCTTAATCTTTAAGTGATGCTTAAAACGGAATGAGGTGAGTTGTTTTGTTTTTTTGGTGTACTTCGTTTTAGTATTTTTGTATCCAACACATAAAATAAGTATTTTCGTCTTTCTTTTTAGATATAAAAGGTGTGTGTATTTTCTGTTCCCAAAAAATACTAATTATTGCTAAAACACCCTTTTATTCCATTTTTGTTCTAGGAAGTACAATCACCAACATACTCACAGGGGACCATACGAAGATACATTGTTCAGAACCCTGAAACGGTATGACAACGTCTTTTGTTTTTTCATTTTTAAATTTTTTTATCTCGAATTGTCATTGCTGTGTTTAGAATTTAACCCAATCCCGCCGTTCTACGTATCATTATGTTCTGAATGACATGGGCTTTTGAAGGTACCTGTAGCCTCAAGGCTGCTGTTTAGGCTCCTTCATAGAAAGTTATGGGAGGTAGTATACTGTCTTGGGAGTGGGTGGTGGATGCATTCATACTTTGTAATATATATATATTACAATTTTTTTTTAATCTGGACAAGGCTCGTCTTCTCCCATGTCCTTAGAGAAAGGAGGTGTGAGGATATAGCAAAGTGCTGCAGGTCTGATGAATCAGATGATAGTACCATAACTAGGATAACCTGTGCAACTCGACTATAGGGAGACAGTCACTGAAGTTTATTTTGTGAAAAGAATATGTAGTTTATTTGTAGACAAATATAATGAAGGCCAATATTTTAGCTATTCCCGGCTGCCTCTATTAAGATAGACAGGCATGATATCTTCCTGTGTGTGTCTATCTGTCTGTCTATCATGTAGAAGATCCAGCGCACTCACTAACAACATCTTGAAGCTGACCATATTTAATAGTGTTTTTTATTTAGACACCTACAAACATTGGGTGGGTTTAGCTACATCATATTGTCATACATTGCATAGACTTGCCACAACGCGAATGTACCCTACGTGTGTGTGTGTGCGCTTATATATGTGTGGGCTTTAATACATTTTATGTAATGTGTCACAAGTATAAAGAACTATTCCATGTTCCAACGGTTGAGCAATCACTACGGAAACCAATGGAATATATTTGCAGATGATTCCATTTTCTGATGCATCTCCTCTTTAATTACTTTGTCATTTTGGATAGGGTTAATTTTTGCATGATAGTAACTTTTTATTTCCCCTCTGGCACATTGTGTGTGCCTCCACCCTTCCTCCACTTCAAGCTTTCTGCACAATTCAAGTATGTGAGAGCGCCTGAGGCAGAAGCGCTGTTTCAGCAAGTTAAGATTTTTAGACTGTTTCTTTTTTTTTTTTTTTTTAAAGTTGGTTTTAATTTTTGTTTTTATTTAAAATGTGCATACTCTGTGGAAAGTATTTTCTAATTGGGTGATACATTGTTGCATTAACTATTTACTAAATGGTAGTATGGAAGAAAATCGTTTTGTACAATACAGTTGGCTTTGTTACTCAGAAGACATTAGGATCCTTTCAAACTGCTTCAAAGAAAACGTAATTGAATATTTTTCTATTCTTGATCTTTTCTGATAAACAGAACCTCTCAAATTTCTTTATCTCAGCAATTACCATTGATATGTGCGATTTTTATTTTTTTTTGTCAACCAGAGAGTCAGAAATTACAGATTTTACACCAGTGGTGGAACTAATGTAGAGAGCGCCCTGCTGCAAAAATTTGTTTTGGGGCCCCTCTAGCGCAAGCATGGCCAAAAGGTAGATCTCCATCTGTCATACAACTCACACAATGCTTTTCCAGCTGGGGATTTACCAGATGCACATACTTGCAAAGGCAGTGTTTGTGAGCAGTGTTTGTGTTTGAAAGTAAAGCATTTTTTGTGTGTTTGAATTTGAATGTAAATGTATTTATTTTTTGTAGTGTTTCCATTTGAATGCAGTTGTATGTTTGTAGGTACAGTTACTATTTGAAAGCAGTGGTGTAGGTGTGTTTAGTGTTTGTATGTAGAGCTGGTGTTTGATTGCTGGAATGTATGCATATACACTGCCCCACACGTACACACTGAAACACACACAGATACGCACATACTGACACACACACTGACACATACAAACACACTGACACACATAGATCACAATTTAGTTAATCCCAGGAGGCTAAGTCTGATGAGAGTCTGGTTCAGGCTCTCTCTCCTTTCTGTTCTCCTCCCCCTCTCTTGTTTTCCCGCGCGTCTCATTGGTAAGCTGGGAGGAGTGCATTGTAATCTCTTCCTCCAAGAACCACGGCTTTACAGAGACCATGAGACATTTGCAGGTGCCTCAAGTACAAATAGTGGTATATTTCTGTGTTGATTGCTACTGGGCATGTATGGCCTTGTGCAGCACCAATTTTCACAGAAACAGGGGCTGTCTGTGAACTTACAAGTGTTCACCTCTGGGGAGTAGCAACTGCAAATCCCTCCATGTCAGCAGCGACATACGTTTGTCAAATATTTGAAACAAAAAGCTGCAAATACATTACCTTGACACCATAAGAACTTCAATAATTTTTGTACCTGGTTATGGTGCCAAGAGTGTCCCTTAAATTTATGAAACGTAACACCAGGTATAATTTTTAAAATTTTATATTTATTTTATATCTGGATTCAAAAACAGCCATCCCTGATTTTGACTGTTCCCCCTTTAAATTGATCAAGATACAGGGGTCACAGTGTGCTTTGTTAGTGTCACGCTGGGTAGAATTTTCACTTCCTGACAACTGCTAAGGAACCTTTTTAATTATGTTAAGTATTTATTCTCAGTGAATGTTGGGAAATGCCTTGAAACTCTTGTTTAGAAAAACAAAGCATTTAGTGTACAAACCAATCGAACTTGTTTAATTTGCTCATTGGTGGAATCTGAAGATGCTGTCTTGTAAGATGAATGCTGTTTTCTTACAGGAAGTACACTCTCCACCATACTCTCAGGAGACCATTCGGAGGTACATCGTCCAGAACAATGAGCAGGTATGAAGATAGAATTATTGGTTGTCTTCCTAGCATTCTCCCGCCGTGCGTGTGCACCATATGCTTTCAGCCTGGTTCTAGCCGATAGGCCTTATGAAATACAGGTATTAGTTTGTCACTTATAATTGCAGTCCGCAACATTTTGTCACTGTGTACAGTTATAACCAGTCAAGTCAGTAAAGAAGACATATTAAAGGACCACGCTAGGCACCCAGACCACTTCAGCTTAATGAAGTGGTCTGGGTGCCAAGTCCAGCTAGGGTTAACCCATTGTTTTATAAACATAGCAGTTTCAGAGAAACTGCTATGTTTGTAAATGGGTTAATCCTTCCTCCAATTCCTCTAGTGGCTGTCTAATTGACAGCTGCTAGAGGCGCTTGCGTGATTCTCACTGTGAAAATCACAGTGAGAGCATGCAAGCGTCCATAGGAAAGCATTGTAAATGCTTTCCTATGAGACCGGCTGAATGCGTGCGCAGCTCTTGCCACGCGTGCGCATTCAGCCGAATGGGAGGAACGGAGGAGGAGAGCTCCCCGCCCAGCACTGGAAAAAAGGTATGTTTAACCCCTTTCCTCTCCCCAGAGCCGGGCGGGAGGGGGACCCTGTGGGTGGGGGCACCCTCAGGGCACTATAGTGCCAGGAAAACGAGTGTTTTCCTGGAACTATAGTGGTCCTTTAAGCTCTGCAAGACCTTATCGTGTCATAAGAGAGACCCGATTGGCTCTCTCACACAGAGAAAACTGGTTGAGTCTTTACAATTTAAAGATTAAAAAGGCACAAAAATCTAGAGACTTACAATGAGTGTCCTCTCCTGTGTCCAGCTCATGGACTATAGAGTGGGGTGTTATTTAAATAATGGCCCAGTATTTTCATGGCCTCTTGGGCATTATAAAGGTTAATCCCATTAAGAATTCAAAACCTAGTGTTTATAGCTCAATTAGGGTGTAGGATGGGGTAAGCAACCTTTGGCACTCCGGATTTTGTGGACTACATCTACCCTGATGCATTGCCAGCAGTATGACTTTGAAAGGATTATGGGAGATGCACTCCTTAACATCTGGATGGCCGAAGATTGGCTACCCTCGTTCTGGACTAGTCTTCTGGTCCCAGAAAGTTATTTCCCCCCCGGTGTCTATCAGAACACTGTAATTGGTTGGCTACTAAAATCCCCCAAAAAACACTGCACTCGAAAACACTTTTGTGAGGGTACCGAAGTGTACTGCATACATGAATATCAGACATTAATTATGATCTATGATATTAAAAGGAGGATTTTAATTGTAACTTGTTTTGGTAGGAAGTCGCAGTCCCTTATCCTCAACAAACAATAAGAAGATACATTGTTCAAAACCCCGAACAGGTAAGACAAGAATAGCGAGATAATTCTATTTTCTCTGTATACGCTCAACGCAGTGTCTGTAAGGATTACATTTGAAAATTATTATCCAACAAGCATATATTTTCAGTACCATTTATATACCAACTGTCTCATGGTTTGTGTCTGATACAGTCTGCTAGCTGTCTTCTTGTTATCTAACATTTAACTCTAAGCCAAATTTTACATTTCTTGTGTTCCTATCGCCACCATTATCTACACCCTAAATAAGGGGCCTTCACTCAAGTGAAAATTCACAGTGAATTTAAGATGGCCTTAAATTTGAAATACTCTTTGAATTCACCTTGAATTCTCACTTTGGTAAATAACCCTGTAAATGTCTGTCTATGAATATTTCTGTAACTGTGCCTAAACTCCAGGCATTAACACTTCTAAAGATCATTATCACAAAGTTTGAAGAGTATTTGCTCTTTGGAATGCTGGTATCTACTCTGCAAATCACAATCTCTGATTGGCTGGTGACATCACATGATTTCTGCAGCCTTGTATTTCATTAGTAACTTGTCACGGAGGGCTTGAAATAGGCGATGCAATTTCAAGATGGCCACCTCCACACTGATGTCCAAGTGTTATTTCCAGCTAATCTTACTATAGATTGGTTAAACAAAATATTGCTCTATTTGTATTCGTATTTTAAAGTCATATATGAAAAGAAAATTTCCAGTTTGTTTAGAACCATTTTAGTCCAATAAATCTACATATCCTTCTCTTCTTCAATTGCTTCTCGGTTTATAAATGGCTAGAAATTACTTATATGCCCACAGATAAGACAAAAAAAGTCTTCAACAAAGTAATTTGCCCATTCTAGATGACGAATGGAACGGGGTAGACGACACAAGACTATACTCCTAAAGAGGAGGTTATGATAAATTAAATAATTGAAAAATGACACAAAATTAAAGGGACACTATAGTCACCTGAACAACTACAGCTTAATGTATTTGTTCAGGTGAGATCTATAGCTCCCTGCAGGCAATCTTAGAGAAAATACAGTGTTTACATTGATTGATAGGAATACCTCCAGTGGCCGTCACTCAGACGGCCACCAGAGGGACTTCCTATCATGTAGGGCCCTAAAAAGGCCATGTACACGTCAGACGTATTAAAATACGTCTGACGTGTGCAGGAGAGAGAAGGCACTGTGTGCGCGCCTTCTCTCTCCTGCCTGTCAGCAGAGGAGAGGGGGCGGGCAAAGACCGCAAGCTGAGCTGTCAGTCAGCTCAGCTCGCGGCCGCGCACACTGTAGTGAAGGAGTGGAAAGCTAGTTTGCATGCGCATCACATCGCCTTTGCTACGCCAATTACCATCTCCTAATAGAGATGGATTCAGTCAATGCATATCTTTTCGATTATGGGGTGCGTTCAGGGTTTCCATGCTAATGCTGAATTTTGGTCCCTCTGTCTTTGCGGGACAGTGCCCAGGAAGTCCCTCTTGTGGCTTTTGGAGTAACAGCCACTAGAGGTTGTCCTAGGAAACCATGTAAACACTGATTTGTCTCAGAACGCTTAGTCTGCAGGGACCATACATTAAGCTGTAGTAGTTCTGGTGTCTATAGCGTGCAGCAAATCATATTGACATCACTAGAATTGTCCTGTGTCCCCATGTATGCTTTGTGTGTGGATGGAAAAATGTTTACTATTCCCCCAACCCTTTTTAAACTTGTGTACCTTTTACCATTGTTGTTTTCCCTTTTTAAAATGTATTTTGAAAAAAATAAAATAAATAAGAAAAATTATTTGAAAAGCATGAATCCTTAGGTTGTTGACATCTATGCTAGGGTTAGTAATTAAAAGTGCTATCCTAGTGGCCAAATGCTCATTGGATTGAATTAAACCATGTGATGTTTCCATACAATTTCAGTTTTATAAATGGGAAATATCTGTAATAAATGTTCTTATTTTAACTTTTTGGTACGTTTTAGGGATATTCCTCAACCACAGCCTTGTCCATGCCATGTTTAACATACTTTTAATACATTCTAAGTTTTGATTTGATTATTAATACAAAATTCTTCCCCAGAATTGGGAAGCTGGCTAATAACGAGTCTTTGAAAAGTGCCAAGCACACCATCTTTTAATGTTTACAATTGGCTTGAGTTACAGAAAGGTAGTTGGTATTATTTTTTTTTTATTATTTTTTTTTAGGATGTGACTCAACTGGCAACTGACCTTTCACGTTATTAGCAGGAGGATGTTCTGGCTTTAAGAAATCAAACCAAATAATTAATTCCAGAACAGTTTTTCTAGTGCAGCCAAAAGAACGGGAGAGATTTCACCGCTGTAGATTTTCCGTGGCCAAAATAGGATTAAGTGCATAGGTACTGCCTGCCAAGTCAAATCTACACTGCCTAGTTCAGATGGCATATTGAGGGGAATAGATCTGACCTGGTCAATCAGTCTGCAATATAACATGTGGCTAATTATGTGCAAACTGATATGTGTTGCAGGAAATCCAGGCCCCGTATCAGCATGAAACCGTGCGAAGATACATCGTACAGAATCCTGAACAGGTGGGTGCGAAATATCATATTTAATCTTGCTGACTAAATGGCTCTTTCACAAGATGAGACCTAAGTCTCTCTTTTATCCGTTTTACTGCCGTCTATCTGTGTTATAATTTTACCCATCATCTGACCCTTACAGGATTTTACAAACAACTTTCTCTATTCTGTTTCTGATGTATAGTTTATTTGTGGATTATTTTGATTTGAACGTCTTAAAACTCAGTAAATATTATGCCTTTCTCTTTGAGCAAAGTTAACTATATAGGGAACATTTAGAAAAAAACAAATAATGTCGAACTATCGATCACATTTTCAGTTCTGCAATGGCTTTCGAAGATTAACAGTGCTTTTGTAATAAGTCTATTTGTGAACACTGTAAAAGTACAATTTACTCGTGTTGTTGATTTATCTGTAAAATTGTCATATGTAGCAAATATTTTTGAATACATTTGTTTGCCTTTTTTAATTTCACCAAATTAAAATCAGAGAAAACCAAAATCATGGAAAACAGTTCAAATGTGGTTCATTGTAGTAGAGGATCGTGGGGGAAAAAGTAAAAAAAAAAAAAAATCTTTAAATTAATTTCTGGGCTCATTTGCATATCTAGCTGGGGACCCTGGGATAGTTGTGGAAACATAATTTCTCAAGTTTTTGTGCCCAAAGAGGACTCCTCAAAGTCCAACTTGAGATATGCAGGGGATGCACGTCAGTAATTTATCTATTTGCACTATGGGCAGTTTTATTGTATTCAGTCTCACCACAATCTCTTTGGTGCATTTCTTTTTCAGATGGCAGTTGGGTCATTAGTGTACTTCTATTATTACATTATCCCTCTGTTATTTCAACTGGCAAATCATTTTATCCAAAGTTCCCCTAATTTCAGGGCATCACTCAAACATGCTCGTCCTGGTCTGTCTGACTTGTGGAAATTTTGATTCTGGGTAACCGTTCCTGCTATTTTAATACAGCCCTTTCCCGAACTAAATTAATGGCCGCAAATAGCAGCTAACACTTGGATTTATAACTCCTGCTCATCTTGGTTAGAATGGGACATGTATGTTGTGATCCTACTGAAAGATTAAAACTACCCTAACCATAACACAAACCATAATACCAACAACAACACTTATGCTAACACTAAAAAAATCATGTAACACAGAAGATGTTGAAAGATGTATATAAAAAAAAAAATAACGCTAAGTTTAGGTTCCGGGGATAAATTCATAAACCACTTAACATTTCGTCTTATGGTTTATTATGAGGTCTACAAAAAAATAGACTCCTCATTTAAAGAAAAAAAAAGAATTCCATTATGTATAATTTTATTTTTCAAAAATAGTTCTGTCGTTCTTTATAGCCAGTACATGCGTGCCTGTAATTTGTATGAATTATTTACTTACTAAGAGAGATGGGTGTTCCCTCATTACCAGATCGTACTCATATGTAGTTAAATTGCTGAAACCTTGGATTAGAGACTTGACCTCATCCTGCATGCGTGTGTATCTGTAGATGGCAATTTCTCATCTAATCAGCCTGGTATTTAAGCAAACCATCTTCTAAAATGAGATCTAGATTACCATTGTATACGTAGGATTACAATAAAAGGTCAAATATAATTTCTTTCTTATTGGCCTTGCTTTTATAATTTGTGGGTCAGCTTTTCAAGTGATTACATGCTTTTGGCTAAACTTTTCAAATATTTTAATATTTTGAAATGTTTCGATATGTAGATATATTATTTTTCAATATCTATATATTATTATAGTATTAATATTTTGGAGATAAAATCATTTTAAGTTTATCCAACAATATGAAATAATTTGAAAGGCTTATCCAAATATACTAAATCAAGGCCATCATTATTTAATTTATAAATAGAATTTATAGTAAATAGAAGAGCACTGTAGGAATATAAACTATGCATGTCCGTAGAATACATTAAGTTTATTATACTGTGTTTTCAGCAAACCTACGTTCAAGGGGTTAATTACGTCCCACAAAATAATGTTGTCTACGAAAAGACCATCCGGAGAGTTGAGGTGCAAAAACCTGAGGTGGTAAGTGAAATGTCCAGTTCTGTGTGTGTTAGTTTCCTGAATGAACTTGTGGCCATTTTCTAGTTAACCATTTATCTTTGTTGTTATGGATAACATTTTTATTTTCCCCTTTGGAATGTTCTCTAGATTTTGTCTGTTTTCATATTTGAAATTTGTTTTTGATAGGGAAATTGCAAAGGAGGAAATTCTGTGACTGGCATTATTGTTATGATGTTTGCAATTGTGTTTATGTACAAATCTCAATCAATTGTGGAAGCAACGATTTGATAGACTAACCATTGCATAGTCAGAAGCACACTTGTTAAGGGTTGATAAGAGTTGTAGTCCATCTTGGAGCTGGAAAGCCTGCAGTGGCCTCTCCGTTATCTGAATGTCTGTTAGATGCCCTGTCTATTGTCCGTGGATGCCGTCATGTCAGTCCATGTCCTACATTCAGCACTTTCTACTATAAGGATCTGGGTGACTAATGGGTAAACACAATGCACTTTTTTAGTTTTTATTTTTGTAAATTGCATCAATAAAGCAGACAGAAACATTCCCAAAGTCTTCACCATCATGATCATGTTATATTTCACTGTTTACATTCTCACCTCTATAGTCGCCCAGAAAGGTTTTACATTGTTGCTAGAAAACAATGTCCTAATTAGCCGGATGGTTGAGTGGAGGCATCTGCCTACTGAGCTGGCTGGGCTTTAATGATTTGGGCCACAGAAGTGAAGAGATTTAGGGGTTTACTTGCTATGCAGTGAGCTGAGATGAGTCCATGACGCACTTGCAGAATTTCGGCTAAAATTAAATTCTGTTTCTCCAATCACTAATTCTGAACTCAAATCTGCCACTTTGTTTTAAACTCTGTACCACTCGATTTATAATGAATAAACCAGCTAAAAGTTGAAAAGGAACCACAGAAGAAATGTTTGTCATGTTCAATATCCTGCTTTATGGCATCAAGAAGTGAGTAAAATGGCGAGAATGACATTGGGGGGTTATTTAAAAAGTGATCTGAAGTACTAAAAGTTCTTCTCCCCTTTATACATTTTGCACCACTTTTTTTAGAAGAGAACACGTTGATAAATCACCTTACATAGCGCCTTAAACTGAGCAGAACACTTCTGCCAATCTCTCTGACTACCACAGCAGTAACCAGCCTGTAGCAGTTATGCCATCACTTCCATCATTATTTAGAAAGAATAGAGGGTGCTGGGTCCCATCCTGTCCTATACTGGCGCTAGGCATCTGAGCTACTAATCCTCTCTGCGGGTTACGGACGTTCTGCAGATCCCATGATAAATTATGAATCCTGTATTATTGTATTGTAGCTATTCTATTGCATTATTTTATAAGTATGTGTTGCCTATAGCTAATTGCTCTTTATCTGTTGTAACAGGAGAGAACCTCCTCAGTTTCAATAGGATCACAACAAACTTCTACAAGTGAACAAGTGACTGAGCAAATCAATCAAATCAATGTATCTTCCAAGTCGAGTGAGCAGGTATTTCAAGCTATAACCGTGCCTCTAGTTGTGGTTTTAATATATTCTCCCAAGTCTAGAAATACTTTGTTGCTCATGATTCAGAATGAGTGAGTATATTACAAAGACAGATTGACCACTAATTACCACTATACATATGGACTTAACTTATGTTTGGGTACATGGGAGCACTAAGTAGTCCAACACCTATAGATGACAATCACGCAATACATATCCTGGTTTGACAGTACCTTCAACTTCATCAGTAGATCTCTCTTTCTCTGGCCCACTCACTTACATTCACATATTTTTACATTAGTTTCCACTGACACGGGATCTCCTTTCACGATATCTTCAGACTTTCCATGGGTGAAGTTTCAGCCATGAAAGAAACAGATATCTTAGACCAGGATTGGCCAAATAAAGATTCCGAGACCATGCACGGAGCCTCCCAGACCTTGCATGGTCTGATTGTGATTATTATCTGCAGGCCTGCCCTGTGATTCATTATTGTATCAGGAACAATGTGTATGTACTACACGTGTATGTCATATGAATGATGTAGACATTAGTTAAGCTTTGCCAGTTTGCCAGAACAATTCAGCAGATAGTGAATTGATGGAATGGAAACCTTGCTGAAACATGGAATTTTCATAGACTTTGACTAATGGCTCTTTTTTCCTCTTCCTCAAGGAGGTCATCTCAGAACAAGTAATCCAAACCTCCGTCTCCAGTGAGCAGGTATGGAGCAACCCAACACACAGTTTGAGAGTCATGATGTTACAAGCTCATATATAGCCTGTTTCCCTGAAAATAAGACATCCCCCGAAAACAGGCCCTAGCTTTTTTCAGGGGATGCTTGTAATATAAGACCTACCGTGCAAATAAGCCCTTGTCGCTGGTTCGCTAATCTATGTTTCCCCAGAACATAGATTTGTGGCATTCTATTCATGAGTAAACTAAACTATGTTTGGGGAAGTTTCCCTGAACATAGATTTGGAGGATTCCATGCCTTAGTGAACTGGTCTATGTTCAGATCTGCTTTCTAGCATATTCTTGCTACCATTTTCCACCGAAATAAGGCATCCACCAAAAATAAGCCCTAGTGCACTTTTGGGGAATAATATAAGACCCGGTCTTATTTTTGGGGAAAGACCATATTAGACTATAAAAAAATTACCAGTCTAGCTTTGTTCAAAGTTTCACTAAACAGCCTGAGATTTGTCTGCTAGTTGTCTGATTTCTGTCTAGGCTGTCAGGCCTGTCATTCAAACTCCCTTTGTGGTGACCTCACACACGGCAATGTTTTAACCTAATATCTAGGCCTTTATCATGGCTTGATTACAGCCATGCGTGGCCACAATATAGAGAGTTTAAAATCAGACACTTTCTTTTTTTTCCTCATTGGCACCTTTTGGGATTTTCCCCCTTGTTTTATCTAAGTGGTTATACTACATAGTAATCCATTAAATAAAAGGTTCACTTTTCCTTGACTACTGTGAAGCGATTTATTTGAGTGTAAATTGACGTGTACCAGCAAATCTGATGTTTATAATCCATTCACTTGCTTCACGTCTCTTCGGTTTATGATTAAATCAATGTTTGGAGATAGATTATCAGACTCCCAGTTAGAGCTTTTCTAGTGTGGGAAACAAACAGAGATTTGCTAAATTATTTTCTTTGTAAAGCAACCTATTTTATACAAATTCTAAAAAATTTTTTTGGCAGTTTTGATCATTAAAATGTTCATCGAAGATGCAAGGAGACACAGCTATATACATAGTAACAACATAGGCATACAATCATTATTCATTAAATTGCGTCGGGCAGCAAAAATAATATTCATGGCTGGCTATTAAAAGGAATAATACTTTGAATAGTCGTAAGGTTATGTTATTTATTTAATCTCTGTATGTGCAGTGTTTCAAAGTTACAGACTCCAGGCACCATGACCACATCAAATTAGTGGCCTTTAGTATCTAAAACAGCATCCAGTTAATGCTTGTTTCTATTTCCCAAATTAATGTTCCCATTTTATCAACCATGGACAGATAAAGGGTGTAGTGGTCACTCTCAGGACTTGAACATGTGACCTTGAGGTTTTATTGGATACAGCATTTGTGGCACTTGTCAAATTAACATGTTTCCACCCACCGGCATAAAAGAGAGGTAGTTATCCACATTTGTGCTATAAGCGCCTCAGACAGGCCTCTTCAAAATAAATATCACAAGTGCGTTATGGTGATTTAGGCAAGGATGTGGGAGAAGCAAATCAACCAATATGGGATGGTCATAATATATTCCCTTGGGCTGAATACCTTGGTCTTTTTTAAACGTAGCAATCCCTCTGGTTATAACGTTCTATTTCAGTCGGCTGCAGATCTTCTGTGTGGTTCAGTGATGGTCCAGGCCTTTCCTGGTGGCCACAATGATTTACCATCTGGAAGATCATACCCTGAAGGTAGCCTCGTCAATTATTGGGTGCCTTGAGCAGGTGCTTCCATAGTATGTATGTAGCTATGAGAACACGTTTTATCCCAGGGGAGTAATTACTGTAACATTGTATCAGATTACTCAACATGATGCAGTGCTGGTAATCTCCGACGCAGACTCCTCCTGATGCTTCCTTACCTGAGCAGAGCGGTGGGAACATTAATTACCAGACACCACATCATGTTCAGTTCTGCTGCATTCTCTCCATGAAAGCAATATGTGTGTCCTGGTTATACAGCCTACCCCTGTTATACAGCATCCCAGGAATGCTTGCTGGCTGCTCTCCAGGCCTGGATTATAAGCTGTACTTCACCTTTGCTGGAGGCTGCATTCAGCTTGTTGTGCGATTTCCCTGATTAAGAGTTTTGCAGGATTAGTCTGAACCACTGAAGCAAGTTTCGCTTATACAGCCTTTTGTGTCATTTTCTGGCATTGTTGGGTAATAAAATGCTTGTTTGCATTTCTCGTTTTGTGTTTTTTATTGTTTTTCATTCCCATAAGACCTGTTACTCATTCTTTCTCCTAAAAAAAAAAAAAAGAATATTATTATTTTATCCCAAAGGCTTATGGAGCATTTATAATTTGTTGGCCAACTAAATAGTTTACATTGAATGTGTGATGGCTTAAACTTTATCCAGCCTTTTAAAATGCAATTATCTTCTCAAATAAAAACTGATTTAGCTGTTCTCTGGGGACAATGGCAAGTTAGAAAACTCTCTGGCCCATTCTGCTTTAAGAGCAACCTTGTCACTGTTTGCTTTTTTTTGGTTTTCCTTTCCTCATGCTTTCTGTATCTTAATGATTATACCCCCCTCCCTTGTCACTTGCCTTATATTTATATTAAAGGAGCACTATAGGGTCAGGAACACAAACCTGTATTCCTGATCCTATAGGGTTAAAACCATCATCTAGCCACCCTGGTCCCCTCGTGCCTCCCTAAATATAGTAAAATCTTACTTGTATTCATGCCTGAAGCTGTAGCTCTGCATGCTGTTTGCCTCAGAATAGCAAACTGTCTGCTGACCTCATCAGAAGTGGTGGCCTGATCCATTCGCAATGCTTCCCCATAGGATTGGCTGAGACTGACAAAGAGGCAGATCAGGGGCAGAGCCAGCATGATTCAAACACAGCCCTGGCCAATCAGCATCTCCTCAAAGAGATGAATTGAATCAATGTATCTCTATGAGGAAAGTTCAGTGTCGGCATGCAGAGGGTGGAGACTCTGAATATTTGGATGCATTTTAGGCAGCCATGACCCAGGAAGGATCTCTAACAGCCATCTGAGGAATGGCCAGTGAAGTTATCACTAGGCTGTAATGTAAATACTGCATTTTCTCTGAATCAAACAGTGTTTACAGCTAAAAGCCTGAAGGTAATGATTCTACTCACCAGAACAAATTTAATAAGCTGTAGTTGTTCTGGTGACTATAGTGTCCCTTTAATATATGTTTCCATATGATCTTAATACCTGGGTGCAGCCATTTTGTTCTCCTCCATCTGTAATGTCTGCTATTTGCCCTTTTGTGGGATAATTTAACCAATGGATTTTGGATTCATTTGATTGGTAACTACAATAGAACCCTGCTTTAAGCTCTGCTTATTGTAACTTTTGTCAACTTGACTCCTATACATAAGAAAACCTAGTTTTATAAAAACTAGAGCTCTCTGAGAAAGAAATAAAATGATACAAAATTCAGACATAGGGAGCTATATGGAAGCAGATTAGATGGTGTGTATTTTTGTGAAATACCCTGTTTAATAGCAACCCTGGAACTATAGACCTGTGTTCTATGGTTTTCCCGAGATCTTGGGGGCAGTAGTTTGTCTGTGAAGCAAAAAGATTAATACTTGAAGAAAAAATATTTGCTTAAGCAATGACTCCCAATATTCTAAACCGATCTAGGTAATTTTAGCATGCATGAGGGTGTAGTCACGGGTGGGGCTGTTCTGAGAAAATGTAGGTGACTTACTAATGGTAATTTATACAACGAAATCACAATTTGGAGCACAAACAATGTATCAAATTTCGAAACATGTTTATTGTGGTATGGTCTCTGTGAATAAAAGACACATCACTAGGAGTATTATTGCTGTGGAGCTCTGTTATATACACACACACACCAACAAAATGGAGTTCCTAGAAAAGAGGGACATTAGGTTATAAAAGAGGGACAGAGGGATTTGGGCACAAAATAGGGACTGTCACTCCTAAATAGGGACACCTGGTATGTGAGATATGTTCGCTTTAAGATAGTGTGATGGTTTATTGGCATTCTAAAAAAAACAGGTATATGGTCATATACGCCCATTCCGGTCTGAATATCTAGTTCTACTTGGTCTGTCTATAATGCTATTAAACTGCATTGTCCTTGGCAGGGCCGCCATTGGGGGGTGACAACCATGACGGTTGTCACAGGCCTGGGGGGCCTACCACCTGGACCCCACGTGTAGCGGTGGAACTGTCCACCTTAGTTCGCCCATTGAGTGACCCAAGCATTTAAGGCCCCACGATGGGCCCTAAACCTTCAGGCACTCAGTCAGCTCTGCGGCCATATAAAAGCGTGATTGGGCCCATTTAATAAAAAAAAAAAAAGCACAAGTACTGCTGGGAGGAAGTGATGGCCAGTTACTTCCTCCCAGCTCACTCCGCGTGGGAGGGAGGTAGAAGAGAGACAGCCAGGCCGTGAAGAGGGAGAACCCACACCAACTCCCGTCAGCCCCAGCCACCCTCCTGCAATGAAAAGGTAAGAAACAGGAGGGTGGCTGAAAAATGAGATGTGTGTGTTTTTGTGTGTCTGTCAGTATGTCTGTCTCTGTCTGTATGCATGTTTGTGTGTTAGTATGCATACATACATGTATGTCAGTCTGTACATATGAATGTATGTATGAATGTATGTCTGTATTAATGTATGTGTGTGTGTGTCTGTATGTATGTAAGTTAGTGTCTGTATACGTGTATATGTCTCAGTATATGTGTGTGTATCCTTGTAGGCGGGCTTGGAGGTGGGCCTGATGGCGGCCCTAATCGTTGGTCTTTAACATGAAAAGTGTCACTAGTCAGTCTGTCTGATTGACCATTCTAATTTTGACTCTACAGTATAATAGTGACAAATGTTACCCAACTCCATTGAGTAAAAAAACCAAAACTCTATATATGAGCAAATCATAATAATTACAAATTATAATAATTATGTCTGTGTATGAAAAGACCTTTGCAGATTCTGTGACTAACACATCTAGGATGGAATTGAAAGAAAAAAAAATGGAGTTGTGCTCCACTTTTACCATTTTTCATAGAGTCCTTGAAAATATTGTTTGTCTTATCCCAAAATATAAACATAACTATAACTATGTTTATATTTTGGGATAAGTCAAACAATATTTTCAAGGACTATTTTGTATGTTTATTGGGGTCATGTACCCTTTACTATACAATGCATTTTTTAAAATAGGTTCCTCCAATTTCCACAAATGGAAAAAAAAAATCTATGAAAAATGGTAAAATTGGAACACAACTCCATTTAAAAAAAAAAAAAAAATTCAATTCCATCCTAGATGTGTTAGTCACTGTAACTGCAAAAGTCTTTTCATACACAGACATAATTATTATGATTTGTAATTAAATTCTACAAGACAAATTGTTCTGGGTAATTTATGTTTCCTGTGACATTTTAGATTAAACATTGATTAAAAAAATAATAATAATCTGTTCTCTCATGAATTCACTGAAGGGAAGTGTAGAGTTTGCTGAGAGCTTGGTTCTCTTGATAAACTAATTAAGATTGCAATAATGCAATTTAGTTGCTGCTGTATTTTCAAAACCAAGACTAGGCATGCTCAGGCAAGAAGCAAGGTGTGGCATTGTAATATGCATTTAAATATCAGGAGATTAATAGTGAAAAATCAACTGAATATCAGGCAGAAATCACACCTCAAGCAGCCAGTAAAACTGTGAATTGGCAGCACAAATGAGGTATCAATTACATTTAAAATGAGCCACCAAACTGGAAAACACATTATTAAAAAAAGTCCAGATTTGGCTTGAAACTGCAAATTATTAAATGCACTTTTGCCCAATTCTGTGGTTAGTGTGCAAACACAATGCTGAATAATTAGCACTACGGTGGTGTGGGGGTTGTGGACTGCCCTGGGTGACACCATCAGAGGGGGTGACACCAACAGGGCCAGTGCTACTTTAAGTGAGCGGAGATGGCCACCTGGCCGGCAGGGTTATGCAGTGGGTTCTTTATCCCTTTATGGGCCTTTTGGTCTGCACCTTTGTCAGACCAAAAGGTTTATCCTTTATCCTGCTCACGAGCTGCAGCACTGTCACTGATAGTATTGTAGCGTTGCTGTGGTACAGGAACTCCCAACATGAATATACAAGGCCTGCACCCAGAGAAGGCGCAGACCAGAAGAGCACACCACTGGACCCTCAAGGATCTCATATGGTCTGATGTGGAAGAAGGTCCAAAGAGAGGTGACACCAGAAATTACTGCATTGGTTAACACCAATCCCAGTGACACCTCTGTAGTTCACCTTGTTATTGATAATTCCTTACAAACTGTGTAATTCTGTGCCCCTGCCTCACCCCTTTCTGTACTACAACTCACTGGGAAACATTTGGAAAGCTGTGATCATATCCACCTGTGTGCACGCTCATGGCTATAGCACAGAGTCTTCACAATCATAAGCCTCTGATTTTGCTGGGAACAGTGCAGAAAAAAATGCATGTTTGAGGGTATATCTACTAAATAGTTAACAAAAACCTCTGAGTATTTTATTTTAAGAATTAGTAATTGAAGCATAATTTCAGACAAAGTAAGTGCAGGGATTGATTACATACACACCAGAGGATAACTTTAAATAGGTTTTTGACTCTGATCATTATTTTAGCAACATCCTTCATTCTGAAGAGTAGTGATGTCCCGAACGGTTCGCCGCGGTTCACCGCGAACGGTTCGCCGAGGACTCCAGTCAGCAGACACATTCCAGCCAAACAGCAGCAGACCCTCCCACCTCCTGGACAGCATCCATTTTGAAGCTGCATTCTTAGTGAGCTGTCCAGGAGGTGAGAATCTGGGAGGGAGGGTTTGCTGCTGATTGGCTGGAATGTGTCTGCTGACTGGAGTCCACTGCGAACCGTTCAGGACATCACTACTGAAGAGTTGTGGGGGTGGGGAGGGGGGGGATTTCTTGTGATCCGCATGAATGGATGCATACACCACTTGCGTCATGTGATCTGATGGATACACGTGCAATTATACATCAGCAAGGCATGTAGATATTGTGGTTTTAAAGGTGTAGGTTTTGTAGTTTCACTATCCATTGCTTACACCATATATCACAAAGATACATGATGTTTGCAGTGTAAAATATATGGATTTTACTCCCCTTTCCTCCGTTCTGATATCTAAACACATTTATTGTAGTTTTAAAAGCACATTACTAACCTTGTGGTTGCCAAAAAAAAATATTATTTTTTTTTTTGTAAATTCTTTATTTTGTCATACAGGTGAGTACAATAAACATAAGCAAACGCTACAACAGCGTACGTGTGCGTGTGAACAAATCGAGCATTAGTTCTGATAATACAAGTGTTGATCATGCGCGATCCTGAATACTCAATAGTCGTCAAGCGCCATATCGTTTAACAGGAAAATGAATACAATAGTAACATCGGTGCATAAGAGCGCATTTACAGAACAGATAAAAACTCTAGATTGAATAGCTTAGTAAAAACGTGGCAACGCTTCCTCTCTAAATTATAGTATGCTGCTGTGTCTCCGAACTAGCAAGGTTGGCAGGAAAAATAAGGCAGTAACATCGTAGTAACAACAGAATTAAGACGGATATGATGCATGAAGTCCGAATACAGGAGCAGTATTATTGATTGACATTTGGGACATAAACTGTAAAGCTCAATTCAAGGTCTCATGCACACGTGTCAATATTATGGTGCCAACACTGGGATTCAGTTTCTAGTGCCTGATGCAGTACAGATCAGGGGGCGATTCCTTGAATCCAGGCTTCCACTCGGAGCCTCCCGTAGAAGTGAACCCCAGGGGAAATTATGAGGTCGGAGTTAGCCTAATGGGTTGGGTCTGTTTGTGTGTCCCCTAGGTCGGGTATGGGTTATGTCTGTGTCTAGTCACCTTGATGAATTGTTAATCTATTGCTTAGCTCCTATCCGCTCAGTAGTTAGTTATGTCCTACCTCGATGACATGTTCTCCATGCGTCAGAGCCTGTTCTGCCGCTGTCTTTCAGTCTTGTGTAAGTCGGAAGATCGTGTCAGTAGAACTATCTACACGTCATGGTAATATCTTGTGCGTCAACGTGTTCGAGCCCTCCCGGTTCCGACCCCCTCGGCCGCAAGCCGCTCCGCCCCCGCGGTGTCCCTTAGTGGAGTTACACGCAAGCAGTAGTTGTAGCAGGTATAAAAAGGGGGGAGGAGTAGGGGGTGTGGAAGGGTCTTTGAGCAGTTTACATCGGAGTGCGCCCGGGCATCCCCAGCCCCCGGGAGTCGCAGTGAGCTCGTGCCTCTCTAAGTTCTGGTACGGGAGAGATAAACATACCATGGGGTCCAGATGTCGACATGTCTGGTGCTTCTCCCTAGTAGTTCTGCGTATCGTGCCTCAGCTGTGTGTATTTCCTCAACTCTCTGTAGCCATTCTGCTACGGTTGGTGGGTGGATCTGCTTCCACTTAGCTGGTATAGACGCTTTCGCAGCATTGAGCAGGTGTCTCAGTATCGATCTCTTATATTGGGCTATCGAGCTTTCCGTAAAGTGTAGTAGGGCCATTTCCATGGTAAATTCTGGTAAGTCACCCACGATTGTCGTTATCTCCCTCTTGATGTCTTCCCAGTATGGTTTAATCCGCGCGCAGTCCCACCAGATATGTCGTAGGGTGCCTGTTTGGGATTCGCATCTCCAGCACGTATCTGTCGTTCCCGGGAATATCCTGTGTAATAGAGATGGGGTTCTGTACCAGTGTGAGAGTAATTTGAAGTTGACCTCCTGATACCTTGTGCTTATGGAGCTCTTGTGTTGTAATATTAATATCTGCTCCCATTGCGCCTCTGTGTACGTCCTTGCCGTCAGTTCTTCCCATTGCCTCTTAAATGCATTTTTACGTGTGCGATCCCCTGTGATCAACTGCTGGTAAAGGATTGATACTCTGCCGTCTGTGTCGGTGTTTGTCACGCAGAGGTGTTCGAACCACGTCTGTTCTCTGTGGATCGCTTCACGGTTGGGAAGGTTGTAGTAGAAGTGCCGCAATTGTGTGTATCGAAATCTGTGCATCAGCGTGTGTAGTGTCGCCGTGCTCCATTCTGGCAGGTTTCTCATTCCTGTGTTGCTCAGGACCTTGGACAACGGGATATAATCTCCGTCTCCATCTATCGGCCAGGCAGATCGGTGTAGTCCCCCGCCTATCATGCTATTGTGTGTTATCGGGATCAAGGGGCTTGGTTGTGGGGAGATATATTGGTTTCGCCTCAGGGAAGACCACGTCTTCAGCGTTTGTACGATGGGTGATTCATTGCCCAGTTTTGGTGCCGCGTCCGCTGTGCCTTGCCATATATACATGTGGAGGGCCTTGTTCGTACTCTCCCTGTCCAAGGCAGCCCACAATTTGTGTTCAGGTGCTGTGTGCCAATCTCTAATCCGTTGTAAAACCGTGGCCTGAAAATATTTGCGAACGTCGGGCAGCGCCAGTCCGCCCCAGTTCTTGGGTAGACACAATTTGTCGTAGCTGAGTCGTGCTCTCTCTCCCTTCCAGACATATTTTATCACCGCCGATTTAAGTGTTGTAAAGAATTCTGGGGGTACGTGCCAGGGGATGGTGTGAAAATGGTAAAGCAACCTTGGTAGAATATTCATTTTAACCACCGCTATGCGTCCCTGCCAGGATATGTGGTCAAAGTTCCAATTTTTGAGGTCGAGCAGTATTGTGCGTAGAAGGGGCGTGTAGTTTCTGGCATATATCTCTTTCGGTTCGCTGGGTATCCAAATTCCCAGGTAACGCATCTGGCCTGGGCACCAGTGGAAGGGGAATTAACGTTCGATCCGTTCCCTTACAGCTGTTGGGGCCGACACGTTCAACAGTTCGCATTTAGTTTGATTTAGCTTCAGTCCCGATACCCGGCCGTATATGTCAAATTCCTCCATCAGAGCCGGCATGGAGTTGATAGGGTTGTCGATAAAAAAGAGCATGTCATCTGCGTATGCGGCTACCTTATGTTCCTGGTCCTTATGTCTAAACCCCCTAATCTCTGGGGTTTGCCTTATCCTGTCCAAGAACGGCTCCAACGAGAGGGCAAATAGGAGCGGCGATAGCGGGCAGCCCTGCCTGGTGCCATTGTGTATGGTAAAGCTGTCTGTGAGCGCGCCATTCACCCTCACTCTGGCATTAGGGTTAGCGTAGAGCGCCTCTATCCAGGCTATCATTCCCGGTCCTAGGCCGACCTTATGCAGTGTTGCCATCATGAAGCTCCACGTTACCCGATCAAATGCCTTTTCAGCATCTGTGGAGAGCATTAGCAACTCCGTGTCTCCCTTAAGGGCCAATGCCTGTATAGAGAACGCCCTTAGAGTGCAGTCCCTGGCTTCCCGGCCTGTCACGAAACCTGTTTGGTCAGGGTGGATTAGGCGCTGGACATACGTTTGTAGTCTTGTGGCGATGATTTTGGAGAAGAGTTTCACATCCGTGTTAAGGAGTGAGATTGGCCGGTAACTGCCGCAATTTTCGGGATTTTTGCCTGGCTTGGGTAGCACCGTAATTGTGGCAGCTAGTGTTTCTTCAAAGGAAATTGTCACCCTGTTGGAGTCGGTTGAGGGCTGCTGTTAAGTGTGGATTCAAAATGCCTCCAAACATTTTATAATACCCCGCCGATAGCCCATCCGGACCTGGCGCTTTCCCCCTCTTCGCTGCCTTAATTGCCGCTTGTATTTCTTCTATGGTGATCGGGGTTTCCAGCATTTCCGCTTCCTCCGGCGTGAGGGCGTCCGGTCGAAATCTTTGTAAATAGCGCGTTGTGGCTTCCTGCAGAGCGGCACGTTGAGTGTCGGGCGTCGACGAGGTGTTGTATAGTCGTTGATAATAATCACGGAATTCGTTTGCTATATCCTCCGGGAATTGTGTGAGGGTGCCATTGGTCCTTCACAGTGCATGTACCTGCGCCCTGGCTTGTTGCGGTCGGATCATGTTGGCCAGGAGTCTCCCACTTTTATTGGCGTGGATGTAGAAGAAGGCTTTAGATTTCTGCGTCGCTCGATGGTGTTTGCGTGCTATCAGTTCTGTCAATTGTCGTCGTGCGTCTAAAAGACAGCGATAGTGTTCCTCGAGTTGTGACCGTTTGTGCAGAGTTTCCAAATTGGAAATCTGGCCGGTAAGTTCCAGCATGTGTTGCTGTATTTCCTTCTTCTTCCGTGATGCAATCCTTATGAGGTGGCCCCGAAGCACACTTTTGTGCGCTTCCCAGAGTGTCACTTTAGAAACGTCTTCCGTATCATTCTCAGTGAAGTAGTTGGACAGGTGTTCCGTCAGGAGTGTCTTTACTCCCAAGTCCAACAAGAGTGACTCATTCAATCTCCATGTCGATTTAGAGGGTCTGAAGAGAGGGGAGTCCAGGTGTACTTGTACTGCGCTATGATCCGACCATGGTGTTGGTTCAATTTCGGCTGATCGCAGACGTTGTAACCCTTCCTGCTGAATGAGGATGTAGTCGATACGCGAATGTCTCCTGTGAATGGCCGAATAGTGCGTATAATCTCGAGTCGTCGGGTGTAAGGTTCGCCACGCATCCACCAGTCTCAGGTCTAACAGCGTCTTCCTTATCGCCCTGATCGCGGTTTGTGGTATGCTGCTGTGTCCGGTCGATGAGTCGGATAGTGGGTCGAGTGGCGCGTTAAAGTCCCCCCCCTATGACAAGCGAACCTTCCGTGAACGTTGCCAGTTGGCGAATCGTTTTGTTCAGAAACGTCGCCTGCTTTGCATTTGGCGCATAGATTGATGCGAAGGTGTAAATTCTTCCAGATATAGTGCCTTTGAGAAAAAGGTATCTGCCGTTTGGGTCCGTGAGTTGGTCCGTCTGGGTGAATTGGATATTAGCGGCTATCAGTATCGCCACTCCTGCCCTTCGGTCAGTAGGGTGGGTGCTGTGGCAGTTGGTTGGATACCGTCTGTCCTTCAGTCTGTTGGTGTCCACCGATTTGAGGTGCGTTTCCTGCAGCAGAGCCACTGAGATCCGCTTACGGTGAAGTTCCCGTAAGAGATGTGAGCGCTTCTCAGGTGGGTTAAGGCCCCGACAGTTCTGTGTTAGGATGCTGAGGGGTTCGGCCGTGTAAGCCATAGAGAGAGAGTGATTGCGCGTACAAGTCCTGCGGTGTTTGGTCTCCCGTGGGGAGATCTAGGTGCCCGTGCGCACTCCTACTGCAATAAGTGGGGGGGGATGAGTGAGCGCTACAACGGGAAGTGGGTCGGCTATGACACCCAGTCGTTGGAGGGCCTGTGCCCCGCAGGTCAGCGGCTCGGCCCGCGCCCGATTCGGTCCGACCCGGGAGGTCTCTGATTGGAGGCCACAATAATGTGGTCTCTGTGTGGTATATCCCTCAGTATGAGGGGAACCTGTGTAGCTGGGCGGAGTTCAAAGCCGTACCGTCTCCTAGTTGGGCTAGGGCAGCCACGGAGTTGGATCCCCCAGTAATCAGGTCTACACAGGTCTGGTCGGGGTTAGTGGAATTGGCTAGTCCAGCGTGTTGCCTGCTGAGTAGCAGGAGTATACTATCTAGTGTTTACGGTAAAGTATGAGGGTTACCTAGTGAGATGTCCGTGTCCCACATGTTCCAAACTGACGTCATTGGCTATTTTTCTTAAATGAACGGTCTGTATGTCTCGTGACAATGGGGCGTGGGTGGTTGTCCAGGAGTCTTACCCTGCGTGGAAGGTTATCGGTGTGTCTCGGGGCGTCTACCCGACAGTCCCCCCTGAGTCGCCTACCGTGTTGTATGACCAGTGTAACGCAAAGGTGGCATGCGGTGTGCAATGGGTCGTGCCGGTGCGGCCGGGGGAGGAGTCGTCACCACATGAGCCTGCGTCACACGGGGAGGGCCTTGGGTGGACGTCTCTAGGATAGTTAGCGTTGCGTGACCTGTCCGTTAGGGGGTCAGATCTTTCGTGCTTAGGTTTACCATGCCGTAGGATGTGCATGTGCATGTGGAGATGGTAATAACACTGTGTCAGGGGGGATACGTGTCCTGTAAAGTGTGCAACGTTTTAAATATACAGTGCCCCACCATTGAGTGTGCATCTCCCATCCCCACCCTCATCAGTCCCAGCCCATCCCCCAGGTGCCATCCACATAAACATGGTGATACCTTAGGCAGCACAGCTAGAGCCCCAGCCCCCCCCCCCACCCCACCCCATCCCGGCCCGACCCCTAGGCCATTCTACTAGCATAACCTATACATACATCATCCATATTACAACCTGGAATAACAGTGCCTAGGTGCGTGTTCCCTCAGGCCCCTTCTTTTCCCCCCCACTCCCGCCACCCCCAGACAAAAGTCCAGTTATCGGTGTAGCACGGCAAGTTCGCTCTCGCTTCGCCCGAATGGGCCAAAAAAAAAAAGAAAATATTAATAACAGTAAGGCAGCAACAGAGAATGAACTTTTGAATATTGGAATCCAATATTTATGAACAATTTTTATTAACCTATTTCAGGTAACAATTAGAAACATTAATTGGTTTCCTGTGCTGTGTAACTTGATTGATGGCTGAGTTCATGAATGCACAATGTGCAGTGCTTAAGCATTCTATGGACATTGTGATCGAACCCCAGCTGACCTTTAGAAAGAAGGTCCATAAGATAAAACATTCTTTTCTTGGCTCTAATAACTTTAAAACTGTGCTCAGTTTGAAAAGAAACAAACCAGGAATACACCATCCATATTTCAATGAAGAATTACATTATCATTCAAACAAAAATATAACAGGATGACTTTAAAGCAGCGTGATTTCACCTTGTTTTTTTGACAGAAGAAAACCGTCATGGACACTGGGCCTGACCAGCTGGACGCTCGGTATTTTGGAGAGCTGCTGGCTGAGCTCAGCCGTAAGAACAGTGACTTGTACAGCTGCTTGCTGCAGCATGTGGAGAAGATTGGAGGAAGGTAAGGACATGCTCTGATTTTCTTGGGTTCTCAAGATAGCATCTTGTTGCTTTACGGCAGTGGTTCCCAACCCAGTCCTTAAGTATGCCCTAGCAGTCCAGGATTTAGAGATCACCCAGTTGTGTCAAGGTGTTTTAAAAAAAACAAACACAGAAAACCACTTTAGACACAAAAGGGTAATCCCTAAATCCTGAATTGGTAGGGGGTACTTCATGGTGAAGGATGCAAACTGTAGTCATTATGGAATTCTTGAAGATAGGGCATCTCTACTGAAATCAGTGTAATGGCAATTGCTGATGTCAAAAATGCATTTTAGAAGATGAACCCTTTATTAAAACTGTTGTAACATAAATTACTGTTTTTCTGAGAACTGTGTCTTCCAGCAGGCATTTGCCGTTGCTTAAGGTCACAAGCACAATGGCTTTAGCTTTCCAGCTTTCGTGGATTACAATTCCACCCCTCACAATATGTCAAATGGACAAAGATTGACACTTTAATTTTTGGGGTGTGCCGAGGGGGGTGGGGGGGTGGTAAGCCCAGGAGTGGGGCTTTTCAGAGAAATATTAGAGACTCACTGGTAACAATTCAAATTTAAATCAAAATGTGATTTAGATCAGTAACAATGTATCTTATTTACACAGACTGATTTCTAAACACATTTATTGAAGACACATTGTGAGTGTTGTTGCTGTGGAGCTCTGTTATGACCAAGACACACCAACAATATGGAGGTCTTGGAAAAGAGGGGCATTAGGATAGAAAAGAGGGAGAGAAGGATTTGGGCCCAAAATAGGGACTGTCCCTTAAATAGGGACACTTGGGAGCTATGCAATTCCCATAATACGACTCTTTAAATTAATATCTGAGATCCTAAAAAAATGAAGGCATCTCTTGCTCGTCTTTCTATGGGACAAAATACCTCTCTACGGGTGATATGATGCCGTACCAAGCAGACGCATGGATATGGTGCTTCTCCACCCGCTTATCATGCTTTCATTACAGTATACCACTACCACCTGCTCTGGAAGCCTAATAGCTGACATTATGTATCTCTGGGTTACAGTGAGATTCTATCATGATTGTGTTACAGTGACATTTTGTTGCCATTGGGTATCACTGCGTTACAATAAAATTCTGTTGCCCTTCCAAGCACCATGCAGTAATGTTACCGTAGCTCTATATTTCCTGCCTCTGTTTTTATCTTCAATTCTCTCTGCCCACTTTGCCTGCATAATTCTGTCTGTTTTGTTTTCAGAAAACCCTCGGATTCAGAATATGAGGTAAATATAAACACCCCTGCAGCATGTTTAAAATGTAAAGCAGGGGATAAAATAGTGCAGGGAGCTTTGTGATAGAAACACATTTTAATGTGATTCCACAGAGGTAATGCACACAAGAAATCTCCCATTCTCTCGCCTCTCTCTCTTTTATGTCTGTTTGAGTGTTGCTTTATTACTTTTATGTCTTCGTCTATATCTGCCTTTCATTATTTTTTTTACCTGTGTCTCTCTCTCTCTCTATCTTTTTCTCAAGTGGAGGTGGTTTCTAAAGTAAACTGCTCGTACTTATCCTAGATTGATGGGATTGCTGCCAAAACGATGCACTCTGTCAGCTATGTAATCCCATAGACACTATAACCAATTGTTACAAAGAACAATTTTGGAGTACAGTTTGCCATGAGATAGTGCAGTCACCATGGAAACCATTTTTAGGTTTTTGCCTGATCAGCATACACCTGTCTTCATATAACGTACCAATTTCTCTTTTCTTTTAAATGACTGTGTTGAGTTTAAAAAAAAATAAAAAAATTCTTGTTACCTCTCACTCTTTCTACCCCACGTATAACCCGGTGAATATTCCTGGAAGCCCACGACTTGACTGCAGTATACAGTGTGTAGATTTAAAGTGGCAGCAGCCAGTACTGATCAAGAAAACAGATCTAGCCCAAAAGGATCCCCTTCCTGCTTAAAATCCTGTTCTTAATTATTTACCCTCTAGATCTCCAGGATTGTAGTTGCTCTGGGTATCCTGTTCTTAATTATTTACCCTCTAGATCTCCAGGATTGTAGTTGCTCTGGGTATACAGTCAAATGGTTTTAAACTAATGGGCATGTGTTTGCGGCTCCTACACTTTAAAATAAATGTTTCCCCAAATCAAAGGATAGAAAAACATAGAATTAGATCTGCTTCTTGCTGATATCCTGCTGGGTGGGAGTTATCCAATTATAAGAATAGGGCATTGTGAAACGTGGTTCTGGATAACCTTACCCTAATTGGTGGAAGGTTTGCTGTTTAGTAATTAAAACTAGCCGTCTGTTTTCATTTCTTGCAGACAGGAGAAGATATCGAAGCTCTGATCCCAAAAGGAGTGTCTGAACTCACAAAACAGCAGATCCGGTACCTCCTACAGGTAGGAAAATAAACTCCAGAGAACGTATTCTTAAAATAAACTTTACAGATACACTGTGGTATTTGGCAGCTTCTAGATAGCAAAGACATGAGAATCTTCCTCCAAGGAGGAGTACAGCTATCTGGACTGAATGGAAACTCTGTTAAAGGGACACTCCAAGTGTCATATCAAAACTTCATGCTCTTTTATGAATTTTTTTTTTTTTTTATACCGTATATACTCGAGTATAAGCCGACCCGAATATAAGCCGAGGCTCCTAATTTTACCCCCAAAAACTGGGAAAACTTATTGACTCGAGTATAAGACTAGGGTGGGAAATGCAGCTACTGGTAAATTTCTAAATAAAATTAGATCCTAAAAAAATTATATTAATTGAATATTTATTTACAGTGTGTGTATATAATGAATGCAGTGTGTGTATGAGTGCAGTGTGTGTGTGTATGAGTGCAGTGTGTGTGTATGAATGCAGTGTGTGTGTTGTGTGTGTTGCAGAGCCTTGGTGGGGGGTGGGCATTTTTATTATTATTTTTTTTAAATTATTTTAATAATTTTTTTGTTTTATTAATATTTTGTTATTTTTTATTTTATTATTATTTTTAATATTTTATTATTATATTTATTTTTGTCCCCCCTCCCTGCTTGATACATGGCAGGGAGGGGGGCTCTCCTTCCCTGGTGGTCCAGTGGCATTGGCAGTTCAGTGGGGGGAGGAGGGGGGCTGGCAGAGCTGTTACTTACCTCTCCTGCAGCTCCTGCCAGCTCTCTCCTCCTCCGCGCCGGTCCGGTCAGCACCTCGGTCAGCTCCCAGTGTAAGTCTCGCGAGAGCCGCGGGGTCATAGTGCGGCTCTCGCGAGACTTACAGTGTGAGCTGAGAGAAGAGCTGCACGGACCGGCGCGGAGGAGGAGAGAGCGGACAGGAGCTGCAGGAGAGGTAAGTAACAGCTCTGCCAGCCCCCAGTCTGTATTATGGCAATGTAAATTGCCATAATACAGACTGACTCGAGTATAAGCCGAGTTGGGGTTTTTCAGCACAAAAAATGTGCCGAAAAACTCGGCTTATACTCGAGTATATACGGTAAGTTTGGGAATTCAAAGTGGACAAGTTACAATCTATAGTGAATAACCCTGTATATTTAGTTTATGATGCAGGGAGCTTTCTGCTACTGTATCCCTTAATCCTAGTGTAAGGTCCAACCAAGTTTTCCCCCAATCAGAAATATATCCTCACCTGCCTACTCACCACTGTTATAGGTGGTTTGGGCCTACCTTGATTCGTCTTAGGTAACTGGTAAATGGTCTATTTCATAGATTCATCCATAAACAAAAATGGGAATTATGCTATTTAACAATAAATAGGACATGCCAGCCAGCTGCTATTAAATTGCAGAAATCATTAACGTTCTCCAAATGGGGGACATCTTGAGGTCATATTTTATTTCAATTTTTTTTTGTACATTTATTCATATTTAAATTCTCTCCATAAAAAGGGTCAAACACATCCAGGTATATCCCTTTAAGCATATTGAAACCCCTAACAATGTATTTTGCACTGAATCTGAGATCCAAGGTTGTGAGGTCATCGGGCGAATTTTCTCCCTGAATTCACCCTGAAAAGCTGATGAGGTTATAATGTCATAAGATTCAATTTTCTCTCTTTCTAATTCTTGCACATTTTAGATGAGGCATACCTCTGACAAATCCCTCCGGCTCGTGTTGTCCACTTTCTCCAACCTGAGAGAAGACCTGCTCCATTTACAGAATGATTTGAATGTACGTTTATATACTTTTTCCTGTCTGTCTACATGAATTCTTATAAAGTCCTGCAATATATATGTGGATGTTCCCAGGGCCATGAGTGGTGGTTTCTCCAGGGAATCCATTCGTATTGTGAGTTTAGGGGTTTGGGGTAAAATAAGTGAGATCTGTCTTCTTAACTCTTTTAAATGTCTTGGTATTCTATTTGTATACTGTATACATTATATTTAATTTACACTGCATTATTTCCTTAATAAAGTATATAGACATCTCTATTGCAATCCTTTTTGTTTTTACATTTCTGTTGTAGTCTGAAACCATTAAACAAATTATTATATGTGAAATCTGCCTTTTATGTTAAATATTAGTGTACATTTGTACGACTGTAGGGAGGTTCTGTTACATAGTTACTCTGTCAACAATGTGGACATCAGATTTATTATTGTGGGAAGACTTTGTTTAGTAAGCATGGAGTGAGTGCGGACACTGACAAATTCTATCATCTTCTGCTCTGCTGATAGGAGTTGTAGTCTACGGCAGTCTGTGTGCAAAAAATTGTGTGAATAAATACCCGTCCTGTCCCCCACTCCTCTATTCCTCAGCATAATCAAGTACACTGTCGATACTGTGGACTGTAGTGACAATCCATCTCAGCCAGGCTGTGAGTGATGGTTGTCTCAATGTACAGCATCTGAAATGGGAAATCCAACTTACATAATACTAACATTCTCTATATCAGGGGTAGGCAACATTCTGCATTATAAATGTGGACTACATCTCCCATAATGCTCTGACAGCTATAATGCAGGCAACGCATCGAGAGATGTAGTCCACACCATCTGGAGTACCGAAGGTTGCCTACCCGTGCTCTAGATGATGTGGACTGCGCCGGGCTCAGAACGATAAGTGTTACAATCAATTCAATTTGATTAGAGCTCATTCTGCAGGGCACTTTATTTCATTTTTTACCAACCTGCTTGATGTTCCTTGCTGCGATCGTTTGAGTTCAGTAAATCCCATCTTCTTGTGGCAATATGTCAATAATCTTCATATTTCTATCGGCTCCACAGAAACTAGAAACTGACAAGAAATCGCTGGAAAGAGATCTGTCTTTCAAGGATGCTCAAATAAAGGAGTATGAAACCATCGTGGCATCGCTGAGAGAGAAAAATCGCCAGCAGCAGGTACGGCTCAATGCAAATCGGGTTCCTAAATTGCAGTCCGGGATCCACGAGTGCTCTGTTACAGTGTTATTCACTAGAGTGAGAATTCAAGGTCAATTTTAAGGTGAAAATAGCCCAACTTGAAAAAATAAAATCTCTCAATCAGCTTTGCTTTCAAATCAACTACTCTGGCCTTTAAATTGAAATTCACTTTAAATCCTCAGTTTAGTAAATAGTGATACATTGTTTTTTACTAGTCTTGGCTGTGTGTTAAAACACAATTATTAGTGTTTACTAGAACGAATTAAGAAAATTTTACATAGTTGCCAACTGTCCCTTGGCTTGACAGCAGTGTTAATTTTGTCGTCGAGCAATTTTAGTCACATTTTTTAGATTTAGTCAACTAAAACTAAAACCATTCAGATGACTAAAATACGACTAAAACTAAAATGGCTTTTTAGTCAAAAGACTATGACTAAAACTAAATAGAAATTTGCTGCCAAGTTTAACACTGCACAGAGGGGCTGTGGAAGGGGCACAAAAGACAGATCAGGGCTTGGGAGAGAGACACCTAGAGGGGCTGAAAGGACACAAAGAGACACAGAGGAGCTGGGGAAGGGGCAAAAGAGACAGATGTAGGCTAAACCCGTTAGATTTTAGTCTTGTCGACTAAAGTCTACTGAAGATTTAGTTGAGTAAAATGTTCTAGAGATTTAGTCGACTAAAACTAGACTAAAATTGTCGACTAAAATGTTTGAGATTTAGTCGACAAACAATTCAGATGACTAAAATACGACTAAAAATAAAATGACTTTTTAGTCAAAAGACTATGACTAAAACTAAATAGAAATTTGCTGCCAAAATTAACACTGCTTGACAGCCCTATTAATTTTGTCTCTTGTACCAGGAAAAATAAATTCTAGAACCCGTCCCACATTCCAGGGGTGGAACGAGAGTCAGTGTAGCTGCCCACATCCCACAGGGAAATGGCCAGAAATGTGTTTTATTTCTTTCTTTGTGTGTTTGTCAATTTGTGTGTTTGTGTATGTCAGTGTGAGTGTCTGTGTAAATCTGTGTGAGTCTCTGGAAATGTTTTTTTCAAATTGAAGTTAGTGGCAGACAGACACTTTGTATTTGTGTGCTTTGTGAGCATCAAACAAAAGATACTAGCAGGATCCATTATTAGGTAGAATATCAAATTATATCATAAGTGAGTTAGATTTACAGCTTGGGTATATAAGTTTGAAGGTCTTTGAATCCCTGACAATACACCCACTAGCAAGTAGCAGCACTGTCTGTCCTGCATGTAGTACCTAAAACCGATAAATTGTCATAATAACTAGAATATTGGGCATATCCACGAAATCTCATGTATATACTTTGTCTCTCCTCTAATGCCAGAAAAGGCTCATATTTGGTAAATTATTGTAAATTCCTTTCGGGAACATGGCAGATGGTATGTATGGGGCTGAAACATATTGTGCCTGCAGTTTTATGTGTTTAGGATGACTGTTGTTGTGGATGACATAAATACAAAAAATTAACATTGTTTCATTTTTCCATCAGCAAGAACTGAAGGATAGCGCTCTGAGACTGCGCAGCGTAGAAGAAAGTATGTTGTCTCAGCGCAATACAGACAGCGATAAAGATTACAGACTAAAAGAGCTGGAATATGCAAAGAATGCCTTGCAGCAGGAAAACCAAACTCTCCGAGTCCAGGTGGGGCCAGAAATCCTGATAAATACTATTACTTCTCAATGTGCAAAAATGAAAAGTCTTATTTAGAAGAGAACGTGCATGTGTTTTTTTCCCCTTTTCTGAACAGCAGTAATTTCCACCACTTTACTACCTGAAACTTGTAGACTTGTTTCCCCCCCCTCGCCGACTGCACCAATAAACACGTAGACCTAAAAACATATTTCGTAAGCCAGGAAGTCCACAAGGAAGTTCTAAGTTGTCTAATCCTAGAACCATTTAGTTACGGCTTGCCCCCTTACCATGGTCGCTGTCGGGGTCTGATGCTCCCTTATGGTCCAGTGATATTCTTCCTGCTTGTGCAGAGCGGCAGCTGCCATAAAACGCATCAATCAACCTTCATTAGCCGAGTGTCAGCTGTCCGCTCTCAGCCAATAACTGACATCTTGTGTAATGAAAGTTGCATAGAGTTGACTTTAGAGTTCTTGAAGCTCCATGAAGCTGTCAGTAGTGGTGGTTAATCACTGTATCTTCAGGATTTTCAAAGCAAAATGGTGCACATACAGACTCCAGGGGCTAGAAGTTCAGTTTAAACAGCTTTAACTTAATCCACCACCATGGGTAGGCAACCTTCGGCACTCCAGATAGTGTGGACTAAATCTCCCTGTATTCTTTGTCTGCCTTACAGCTTTAAGAGCAATATGTAAGACGAAGTCCACAACATCTGTGATGTACAGTCAATAATATAATATTCTTTACTATTTATTTATTTACATATCATCTGCTTTCATAATCACTATTCACAGGACGTACAACTATGGGTTCTCATGTGCTGTATTTTTAGAATAAGGGCTGTGGTTGTTACTTCCAGCAGTTGTACAAGGAATGCGTTGTTTATTATTAAGGACCTCACTTGAAGGCACTTGAACAAGCCCTCATGTTCTGGCTGAGGACCAAATGTGGTCTATGCTGTTAGACACCTCGTGACAGGGTTTTCTAGAGGAAGTTGTGCGAACATGAGGGAGAATGGGACATCTGCCGTTTACATCATCTCTGTCTTTCTTTAGATCTCTGAGACTTGCTCCAGTCCCGTACTCCAGGCCAAGACTGACGAAATCACCAGACATTACAAGGAAATGATTAATAACCTCTCAGAGGAAAAAGATAAAGAGATCCGCAATCTGAGGGTAATTATCACTACAAACTGTTTAAAATGCAACTTGCTCTGAAAATCTGCTGAGTCTTTAGGGTACTGTCGGGCCTGTAATGTCGCAGGTTGTATTTCCCATTCACTGTGATCAACCAAAGTATTGATTTGAATATACAATGTAACATTCCTTTAACGTTCCCTCCTGGTTTCTGCAGGACTCGCTACTTTTTCTATTACTCTAGGTCAGGTATAGGCAACCTTTGGCACTCCAGATGTCGTGGACTACAGCATCCTGATCCTTTCCAAGCATTATGGCTGTAAGAGTACTATGGGAGAGGTAGTCCACAATATCTGGAGTGCCGAAGGATGCCTACCCATTCTCTAGGTATTGAGTGTCTTGGAAAGCGTATTTAAAATACGCTCTTTCACCTGTTTTCATGAGATTCCCTGAGAGTGATCATAAACCTATCTCAGTCCAAGTGTGGTGGCAGAAGGGTGCCCGTTCTTTGTAGTACTGTGATGCACTTGATTTATTAGACATGGGACCAAATTCAGCCTTCCACCTTACTGAATCACTCCACCCCTGAACACTCCATCTGCCATTTTGCTGAATTCAACCCCAGAATCACTGAATAGAAACATAGAATGTGACGGCAGATAAGAACCATTCGGCCCATCTAGTCTGCCCAATTTTCTAAATACTTTCATTAGTCCCTGGCCTTATCTTATAGTTATGACCAGCATCCCAGTGGGTTCATGATTTGATTAGTCTTCCTAAGTTAGGTTACTGGAATGTGACCTCATTCTGTTTCAGCAAAATAACATCTGCTATTTCTGGCTGTGGGTCATAGTAGTTGTAGTATTACAGCAGCTGACTGCTGAAGGGGTAAACCCATGGCCCGGTGTGCCGAGAGTACAAGCACAGACCGATAACTGCTCTCCCTGTAGGACTGATAGCTTAAGGGAAAAATTTATTATTTTCTTCGGTTAAAAAAATGAATGACATTTAATACAGAATCATTGCCTTAAACCAAAATACTTGCACCTCAATTCACTTGGCTTCTAAAGAGTGTTCTGCAGGAATGCTATTTTATTTTTTTATTTTTTTAACAAAATGTCATGTTTTCAGTTAATGTAGTGTTACTGTTGAGAGTGAGACTATTTCTTAGATTTTGTGTGAGTTCTTCTTTCTGGTTGCAATGCTAAGTAACGCTCGCCTTCTTAGATATTATAACATTTAAAGGATCACTATAGTGTCAGGAAAACAAACTCGTTTTCCTGACACTATGCCATCCTTGGGGGACCCTCACCCTCAGGGTCCCCCTCCCGCTGGGCTGAAGGGGTAAAAACCCCTTCAGCCACTTACCTTAATCCAGCGCCGGTGACCTCTCCTCCCCCGCCGACGTCAGCTCCCAAATAGAGCGAAATGCGCATGCGCCGTGCTCGCATTCAAACAGTCCATAGGAAAGCATTTTTCAATGCTTTCCTATGGAAGTTCTGCTATGTTTACATGTGAAGGGTTAAAACCTGAGGGACCTGGCACCCAGACCACTTCATTGAGCTGCAGTGGTCTGGGTGACTATAGTGTCCCTTTAAGTGATACATATAAATTGAGAGAAAGGTGTTGTTTATAAACAGGATGTTAATATTCTGGCAGGGTTTTATTTTATGTGCCCATTTTTCTGAAGAACAGCTGGGCGAGCACCTTCTATACCTTTTGTACCGTGTTTCTCCGAAAATAAGACCGGGTCTTATATTAATTTTAGTCACAAAAAACACACTAGGGCTTATTTTCAGGGTAGGGCTTAGAGCCAGTCTGTCAGCCGGTGTCCGCGCTGTGTAACCCCCCCAGAGACCCTCACCTCCCCCTCCCTGTAATATTCTCCCCTCCCTCCCTGTAATATTCCCCCCTCCCTCCCTCCCTGTAATATTCTCTCCCCCCTCCCTGTAATACTCCTCCCTCCCTGTAATATTCTCCTCCCTCCCTGTAATATTCTCTCCCCCTCCCTCCCTGTAATATTCTCCCTCCCTCCCTGTAATACTCTCCCCCTCCCTCCCTCCTGTACTTCCCTCCCTCCCTGTAACACTCCCTCTCCCTGTAATATTCTCCCCCACTCCCTCTCTCCCTGTAATACTTCCCAAATCTTCTACTCACCTGCTCTTCCCTGTAGCGTGGCCGAGCTCCTCTCCGGTCTGCGACCCGGCCGGACTGACAGGAAGTGCACACCCATTGTGCACTTCCTGTCAGTCCGGCCGGGTCGCGGACTGGAGAGGAGCTCGGCCACGCTACAGGGAAGGGGAGGTGAGGCAGTGCGGCAGCTGTCTGAGCGCTCTCTATAGAGCTCTCAGTCGGCTGTGGCATTTAAAGGGCCGGAAGCTGCCGGCCCTGCCTAGGTCTTATTTTCGGGGTAGGGCTTATATTGCAGCCCACCCCCATAATCCAGCTAGGGCTTATTTTTGGGGTAGGGTGTATTTTCGGGAAAACACGGTAAAAGGTTTGAAACAGAATGCATTTACAAAACAATCTGCAAATGTACAGGTATGCATTCTATATTTTTCATGTTACAATGACATTCCATCTTATCCCAAATAAACTGGAATTGCTGTTTTTGCAAAGTATCACATTATATTGGAGCCAAGAGTCCTCCTGTTAGCAGAATCATTGCTCTTTAAAGTCATGCAATGTATGAAACCGAAATCTAGACAGACGGTACCTGAGTTCATGAAGGACAGTAAAGTATTGCTTTCCAAAGCAGTCAAGTAGAATGTATTGCTACAAATGGATCATTTTAGCTTCAAGTTTTGTTCAATGAGTAATTTATGTATTTTGCATATTGCCAGATGTCCACAACAATTATTATTAATTTTTTTTTAGAAAAAAGGCTTCCTACCCTTGATGATTACTAGCCATGTTTGCAAATGCATGAGCTGCGTGTGTGACTTTGCCAAATGTAAAATTAAATATATACTTATCTTTCATTTATCTTTTAGATTCAGATTACCAAGTTCCAGAGAGATGTGTCAGCCAGGGAAGGAAGTAGCAGTGATTTGCAATTGAGACTTCTTGAACTGACAGCCTCCTTAGAGGAGAGGGAATCCTTAATCAAGAGACAACAGGAGGTGAGAATAATTCCTTCAAATCTTCCCAACTGTCCTGCAAGGTGTATTCTATCCTCCCTGAATGTGCATCCACGGCCAAAGGCATTGACTCTTATGAAAGACAGTGAATATCACACTATATGGATTGAGAATATAGTGTAGGAAAGGAGGTAGGTACAATAGGGGAGTACAGGAGGTGTTTCAAAATGAAGGTAGGGGGACTATGACTTCACACTGATTCATAAGATTGGTCTAAAAGTAGGCCCTTTATACCCATTCTCTTCTCTAGATTCTTCCAAAACTAAATGCATCATTACTAATAAGCGCTAGTGCTAAGAATATTATACGACATATAATGGTCAATCTATAGAAATCAAGAATAGCCCAAAAGTAGAGTTTACCAGTATCCGTATCAGTATCAATCAAGAACAAAATTGACTTGTTACCTCATCTTTCAGACCATTTCTCAAGAGGTTACCACCTTGGTGGTACAGGGATAATGTGTGTTCTCAACCTTCAACCAAGACCTTGTATAGCAATACGTAATGCCACATGCTGGAGATCCAGCAGAACTGTAGATGAAAAAGTGTCTTAGTATGGTGTGAAGAACCCAATGCTCACATCACGTGGTCCTTTGAGTAGACTAGTTTGGTCCCAGTGGATTGTTCTATGAAATTAACTAACATGTAGGATTGAACTTTCTCATCAAGGAATACCACTGAAACATAAGTCACACATATGGGATTAGTTTATTTGTTTGTTTTTTTTAATCATCCAAATGATCTAATAGATACAAATATCCATTATTGCAACAAATAATTTTTTTCTATATGTTCTTCATTTTGCGATAAGCATAATTAGTGTGTCAAAGGTTGTTGTTTCATTGTTTTGTTATTTTTCTTGACGCAACCCTCACTGTTAAATGTCATCTTTACAGGAACTACTTAGACTGAGGCAAGAGAGAGAGGGAAAATCCGTGAACCAGACCGTCATCACTGAAAGGTACCGGTTACATAGTTTGGCATAATTTAGCAAGTGGAAAATGAAATTATTTATAAAGTACCTTTGGAATTTTGTGACATCTAAAATCAAGGAGTTATTCCCAAAACTGTGAAATGTCATGGAATGAAAACTGAATTGCCAAGATGCATGCCATACTAGCAAGAATAAACAGTTGAATAGAACTAAAAAATGAGGATCAGAAGGTAAAGAGTAAATATATTTTGTTGCTTGAACGTTACCCTGTCAATATTACTATAAAATATTATAATTACAAATAAAAAAACACTAATTTTTAATCCTCTTAAAAACTGTTTGTTTATATTGCAAATTGTATAATGGTTTTACAAATGTACTAAGTCCTGATTTTGTAATTTGTATTTTTTTTTTTTTGCAGGTACAGAACAGATTACCCTATTCTTGGTCTCCTTAATGATTACAAAAATACATCATCGCCAGTTAAGGAAAGACAGACAATTGTTGTTAAGCGAACAGGGTGGTAAATGGTAAGTGCTATGTATGGATAGTTAATCAAAGGGCTGATACGTTAAAGCTATGCAGTTTTGTGTTTTGTTTTTTTATATAAAATACACCAACTCTGCTAAAAATATAAACAGTAACATAAAAGCAGCACTGTCATGCCGGACTTACCTTTCCCCAATTGATTCCTCTTCTTTCCCTCTGTCAGGATCTGTTCTTCATTTCTTCCTGTCTGGTCTAGTTTTCCTTAAAGGACCACTATAGTGCCAGGAAAACAAACTCGTTTTCCTGGCACTATATGGTCTTTAGGTCCCCTCCCACCCATAGGGTCCCCCTCCCGCCAGGCTCTAGGGGGAGGAAGGGGTTAATCCCTTACCTTTCTCCAGCGCCGGCCTCCCTCTTTGACCGAACGTGCATGCGCGGCAAGAGCCGCGTGCGCATTCAGTCAGTCCATAGGAAAGCATTTTCAATGCTTTCCTATGGACGTCAGCGTCTTCTCACTGTGATTTTCACAGTGAGAAGCGTGGAAGCGCCTCTAGCGGCTGTCAATGAGACAGCCACTAGAGGCTGGATTAACCCATATGTAAACATTGCAGTTTCTCTGAAACCGCTATGTTTACAGCAGGCAGGGTTAACCCTAGATGGACCTGGCACCCAGACCACTTCATTGAGCTGAAGTGGTCTGGGTGCCTATAGTGGTCCTTTAAAACATAAGACAAAGTAGGGACTATTTGCTTTAGAGAGGTTTCCTACTCCTGACGATCTATGACGAGTGGAGGAGCAAAGTGTTCTGTTTCCTGTGGTCAGAGACATTTCCCCACAATTCTTACCTTTCCTCCGTGTCACGATGCTTCCTGTCAGTATTACTGAACGTCCTGTCATTTAGACAGAACGCCAGCGAAACTACCGAATTTCGTCCTGACCGAATGAGAACAGTTTCTCCATTCGTGTTAGGACGCAATTCAGTCTTTGCTCGGATCGGAATTTTATTCGAATGAATGAAATTCCGATCTGATTCGTGCTGCGGCTGCATCTTGCTTAGTAGATAACTCCCTAATTCCCACGGTATCAGGGAGCTATCTACCAAAAGGCTGAAAGATCTAAATTGGTCCCTCAGCCAAATTTACTAATACTAAGCAAAGATTACTTAGTATTGGTAAATTCTGCCCCTACTCACTATATCACTTCAGGTCATAGTGGCAAAGATGACATCAACACGGTTCATTACGTATTAATAGCTTTAGGTGGCCGTAGCAATCCTTTAAACACAGATAACCCTTGGGATGTCCTCTGTGGGAAATCTATGGACTGCATCTACCACCTCGTCATTAGCTGATGTCCACAGGCTCTTTATTGACACTGTTTGCCTGTTTTTGTATAATATACAAAACTATTGTGAAATTTTCGACACAAAGTTGTGAATTTATGACATGCAGTTTTATTATCATGATTACAATTAACATTGTTTTATTTATATTTTTTACACAGGACTACATGAACATACAAAGTACAACATCCTTCTTTGGAGAATGAATGTATTGTGCAGGATCAGAATTGTGCACAGAAATACTTGGCCAAAAGTAGTCTGAAAGTTACTGTAAATTAATCCTATTTTTCAGTGTCACAGGTTTGCCTATTACCAATACAATAACAATGAGGGGGATTCGGCACTTGGAATGCTAATATATGTTCTTCAGTGTGTACCTAACTTACAATAAGTCTTTTGTTCAATAGCGAACGTGGAGGCCAATAAAAGTCCTATCTTTTTAGGAATTCAAGGCAAATGATTTTGACAAAGTTCAACCCGGTGTAGGGATTGTGTGTAATATATCATGTAAACATATCCATTTTACCTGTATGAATTAAGACTGGCAGATGAATTGTGGGATTTCAACATTAGGAGCCATTCTAATGTTCAGCAATTAGTCAACACATTACATAGGTTTCCAAGGCGATTGCTCTACAATCGCTATTTTCTAACCCACCCCCTTTATGTCAGTGGACTTAAATCGGCATTACCAATTAAAAAGTTAATGAGCCACCTTGGTTAAATCACCTTATATCGTTAAATCTCTGCAATGCAGTCCAGTCGTTGGTCACCATAGTGTATCCGCTTTGCTTATAACCCATACTACTTGCCCTCTAATATTTTGAAACACGACGGAATCGAGATAGACCGTAACAATGCTCACAGATGTTATTACATTTTTTTTAAATGTACAATTCCAATTTTTAATGCTGTCAAACACACAGAGTGGACAGAGTTGGAAAAATTGCATTTGTATTGGTACCAAAATTTGTGTTAAAAATCCAGGCTATTTAAGTAGACTTTTGTGATAATTCTGATGAATTTAGCTGGTAATATGTTCATGGATGGAGAAATCTCCCAATGATTTCTGCAGAGTTGTTTTTAAAATGATTAACTAAACTCTAGTATGCAACATAAGACATGTTCGGTAACTTCTCCTTTAAGAAAAATAGGAATATGTGTTGGTAAATATAGGTGAAAGACTAAAATACTGCAATATGTACACAGTGAACTTTAGAAATATATGGACTGGATCTTATTTTGAGAAATGGGTGTACTTTCTTGTAAAATAACCTTATTTTTCTGTCTTTTTCATTATCTTGTGGCCTTATCCAGCATATCTCTTTTACATGATACGTCATAAACTTGGTGCTAAATGTACTCCCAAAATAGTATGCTTATTACTTAAATTCATTGCAGGTATTCACTAAATCCCAAATCGTGAAGAAATGACAAGGGAATTTTAGTTTTTATAATAAAATAGCAAAAGTAGAGAAATTATCGAACTCAGCAATTTGGCCTAAAACCTTAAATTCCCTTGTCAATATACAGATTTATTGAATAGACCTTATTGATTTCTGCCCTCTTATCTACAACAGTAGTTTACAAACAAAAACTCTAGGTTTAACGCTCCAGGTTTTAGAAATCTCCCCATTTGAAGACCATGATGAAAACCATAAATATTGGACAGTCAGGCAAAGTAGGCACCTGCCCACAAGCACCTGTCCTACAGGGGGCCCAAATGGTCTGATAGGGTGAGATTAATACCTGCACCTTAGAATTATGTGCCTACATGCACCTTACATGTCAATGCACCACTGTAGACACTCATTGAGACTTTCCGAAACGTTATTCTTTTGTATACAACCCCTAAATGTCAAAGGGGCCTGAGGAATGGTACTATAGTGATGAAACAGACATGCTTTTATAAAACTGTAACACATTTAACGTGGTTTTAGTGATACTTGATGGAATATTATTATACAAAAACCTAAAAACATCTCATATATTGGTTATTATTCACTAAACATAAAATTCTGCAGACATGATAATCAAATTGCAATAATGAAGCAAAATTAGACCATTCTGAAAAACCGTTCTACAATGAGCTCACGGTATAGTGAATAAGCCACACGCACAGGAAGTGTCTGGAATTTAGAGTAAATTCCTACATAAATCACAAGTGAAGAGCGGCTATATTGCATTTTGTACTTTTAATCCTCAATATTCCCTTAAACTATACTTTGAAAGAAGGTCACTGAATCGCGTACAATGGTCAATATTTGGTGTCATTATTGCAGCTGCATGGCATAAATATTAGGGAGGTAGCTAATATGCTTTGCTTAAAGACTGGTATATTTTTAAGATGTTCTATATTTTACATAAAATATTAGTTTTGTGTGTTATTACATATTCGCACTATCTGACCATGTAAAACATGGGAACAAATGGCTTCGTAATAAAGCATTTTACCCAAAACTAAACGGTGTGTGAACTGACTTTGTTTCCTATTTTGAGTCCAATTCACAAACAATGTTGATTCTCACCTGTCAGGATATTTATATCGGCAGACATTTTGTGCTAAGATAGAAATTAAAAGTGTATATTGCCAGAGTAACTCAGAACAAAGCGGACTCAATTTTGCTATCTTCAGGCAAGACAAAATTTATTTTCTGTAACTAGCCACTAGCCTGAGCTAAGGAATGCATTATGTAAACAAGCCAAGTGATAAGCAATGAAGCAGGGGGTGGAATTCTCTGTTTAAATGTTAATGGAATAGAAATAATTTTAAACACAGACACTAGAGACAGAGAAGAATAAGTAATTTTACTTTCTAAATCTTACAGGGTCCCATTGTAAGTAAGGGGTGAAATTGAGTTTAGACATGTCAATCCTAGAAATTACGATCAAAGTCATAGAAACATAGAATGTGACGGCAGATAAGAACCATTCGGCCCATCTAGTCTGGCCAATTTTCTAAATACTTTCATTAGTCCCTAGTCTTATCTTATAGTTAGGATAGCCTTATGCCTATCCCACGCATGCTTAAACTCCTTTACTGTGCTTACCTCTACCACTTCATCTGGAAGGCTATTCCATGCATCCACTACCCTCTCAGTAAAGTAATACTTCCTGATATTATTTTTAAACCTTTGTCCCTCTAATTTAAGACTATGTCCTCTTGTTGCAGTAGTTTTTCTTCTTTTAAATATAGTCTCCTCCTTTACTGTGTTGATTCCCTTTTTATATTTAAATGTTTCTATCATATCCCCCCTGTCTCGTCTTTCCTCCAAGCTATACATGTTAAGATCCTTTAACCTTTCCTGGTAAGTTTTATCCCGCAATCCATGAACCAGTTTAGTAGCCCTTCTCTGAACCCTCTCTAAGGTATCAATATCCTTCTGAAGATATGTTCTCCAGTACTGTGTACAATACTCCAAGTGAGGTCTCACCAGTGTTCTGTACAATGGCATGAGCACTTCCCTCTTTCTACTGCTAATACCTCTCTATATACAACCAAGCATTCTGCTAGCATTTCCTGCTGCTCTATTACATTGTCTGCCTACCTTTAAGTCATCAGAAATAATCACCCCTAAATCCCTTTCCTCATATGTTGGTTAGAACTCTATCAAATATTCTGTACTCTGCCCTTGGGTTTTTATGTCCAAGATGCATTATCTTGCACTTATCCACATTAAATGTCAGTTGCCACAATTCTGACCATTTTTCTAGTTTACCTAAATCATTTGTCATTTGGCTTATCCCTCCTGGAACATCAACCCTGTTACATATCTTAGTATCATCAGCAAAAAGACATACCTTACCATCAAGGCCTTCTGCAATATCACTAATAAAAATATTAAAGAGAATGGGTCCAAGTACAGATCCCTGAGGTACCCCACTGGTGACAAGTCCAAGCTTCGAATATATTCCATTAACTACAACCCTCTGTTGCCTGTCACTCAGCCACTGCCTTACCCATTCAACAATATTGGAATCCAAACTTAAAGATTGCAGTTTATTGATAAGCCTATGTGCAATAGTGTCAAAAGCCTTACTGAAATCTAGGTAAGCAATGTCTACTGCACCACCCTGATCTATAATTTTAGTTACCCAATCAAAAAAATCAATAAGATTAGTTTGGCATGATCTCCCTGAAGTAAACCCATGTTGTCTCTGATCTTGAAATCCATGTGTTTTTAGATGTTCATCAATCCTATCCTTTAACATGGTTTCCATCACTTTCCCCACTACTGAAGTAAGGCTTACTGGCCTATAGTTGCCCGACTCCTCCCTATTACCTTTCTTGTAAATGGGCACAACATTCGCTAACTTCCAATCTTCTGGGACTACTCCTGTTAACAATGATTGGTTAAATAAATCTGTTAATGGTTTTGCTAGTACACCACTAAGCTCTTTTAATAGCTTTGGGTGTATTCCATCAGGTCCCATTGACTTATTTGTCTTTACTTTTGACAGTTGAAATAGAACCTCTTCCTCTGTAAACTCACGTGTAATAAATGACTCATTTATCCTTTTTCTCAACTGAGGTCCCTTTCCTTCATTTTCTCTGTAAATACAGAACAAAAATATTCATTGAGGCAGTCAGCTGACCTTTATCCTCTTCTACATACCTTCCTTCTTTTGTTTTTAATCTAACTAATCCTTGTTTTACTTTTCTTTTCTCATTTATGTATCTAAAAAATGTTTTATCCCCCTTTTTTACTGACTGTGCTATTTTCTCTTCTGTGTGTGATTTGGAAGCTCTTATAACTTGCTTAGCCTCTTTCTGCCTAATCTTATAGATCATTTTGTCTTCCTCACTCTGGGTTTTTTTATAATTCCTAAATGCTAACTTTTTGTTTTTAACTATTTTGGCCACATCTGCGGAGTACCACAGTGGTTTCTTGAATTTTTTGCTTTTACTGACAAGCCTAATGCAATTTTCTGTTGCCTTCAATAGTGCAACTTTTAAATAATCCCATTTTTCTTGGACTCCATTTAAATTGCTCCAGTCTGATAATGACTCCTCTACCCATATTCTAATTTTAGAAAAGTCTGTTTTTCTAAAGTCTAAAACTTTTGTTTTTGTGTGGTGTGACTCAGTCACTGTTCTTATATTAAACCACACTGACTGATGATCACTGGATCCTAAACTTTCACCTACAGTAATATCTGATACCAAATCTCCATTTGTTAACACTAAATCTAATATGGCCTCTTTACGAGTTGGCTCCTCAACAACTTGTTTTAGAGACAATCCCAGTAGGGAGTTTAGAATATGTGTGCTCCTGGCACAAGTAGCTAATTTTGTTTTCCAATTTACATCAGGAAGATTAAAGTCACCCATGATGATAACTTCCCCTTCATTGTCATTTTAGCTATTTCCTCAACTAGTAGATTATCTAACTCTTCAATTTGTCCTGGGGGCCTATAAATCACACCTACACGAGTTACTGTGTGATTACCAAATTCTAACGTAGCCCAAACGGACTCTATGTTTGCCTCACTAACTTTTATTAGGCTAGATTTTATGCTATCCTTCACATACAAGGCCACCCCTCCCCCTTTCTTGCCTTCCCTATCTTTCCTATATAAAGAGTACCCTGGTATTGCTATGTCCCAGTCATTTTTCTCATTGTACCATGTCTCAGTAACAGCGACTAAATCTACACTATCAGTTGCCATTATTGCCACAAGTTCATGGATCTTATTCCCTAAACTGCGAGCATTTGTAGACATGACTCTAAGCTTATCATTTTTTAACACACTTGCTACAGGCACCTTCTGTCCTTGTTTTGGGGGACAATTGGATTGATGTTTTATCACCCTTTTGCCCCCCCCTCCTAGTTTAAATACATCCTAGCAAAACCTCTGAACTGCTCACTGAGAACATTTGTTCCCTTTTGAGAAAGATGCAAATCATCTTTTTTGTACAGCTTATCTCCATTCCAAACAGAGCTACCATGAGAAATAAAGCCAAATCCTTGCTCCCGACACCATTCACCAAGCCACAAATTAAAGTCCCTAATACGCATCCGCCTGTCGTTCTGAGTGTTATGCACAGGCAGAACTTCAGAGAATGACAGTGTGGAAGCAACCTGCCGTATATCATTGGCAAAAACACTAAAAACTTCCTTAACCTCTGAAACCTCATTGCAAGCCAAGTAATTTGTCCCTAGATGGTCAAGTACATCCAATTCCCCTTCCTGCTTTGCTTGTAATGTGTAATGAGAAATACCAGAATTTCATGGGTGGCACAGAGGGAGGGGGCTCTGTATAAGCTGATGTCAGATATGCACAGAATTGATATTAGCCAGCCCAGGACTCTTGTTCCAGGCTGGCTAACGATGCCCCATTGATCCTGCCAAAAGTCATGTTATACCTCTGAAAGCAGAGGGGTTACATTGGTATGGGCAGGGTTTCAAAGCAAAACCCTGCACTACAGGCTTCAGTCACCATTACCACTTCAATTCACTGACGTGCTCATGGTGCTTGGAAAAACCCCTTTTAATGCCTTCCTTACACATTACAGAACTGCATTTTGCAATCAAGATTTCATTTCTATGACATTGATAAAAAGTGTTAACATTTTCAGCAATTCCTTTCAGTGCAAAGAGTACTAAACTAATTGGAGACCCACAGTTTTATGCTTGTGAAATACATGGTTATAAAAATATTTTTTACTTTTACTGCCCATTGCAAACGCTGTTCCCAGCCAAGTCTTCCTAGTCGGCGATTCACACCAAGGCTATCTGATAGTAGATTAAAGATTAATAGGAACTTATTTACTTCCTGGCTATTATGAATGTCTTATGTCCTGGGAAAAGCCTATCACTGGCTTCTAGACTTTATTTGTCCATTTTCTCTTAAAGACTAATAGCCCAGCTATATAATATATAGTTTTTCTGAACTTGTTATTTAAAGTTCATTAGAGCCTGGTTGTGTAACTTTGACTTTCCATTCATAGTAACATTAAAGGAACACTATAGTCATCTAAATTACTTTAGCTAAATAAAGCAGTTTTAGTGTATAGATCATCCCCTTGCAATTTCACTGCTCAATTCACTGTCATTTAGGAGTTAAATCACTTTGTTTCTGTTTATGCAGCCCTAGCCACACCTCCCCTGGCTATGATTGACAGAGCCTGCATGAAAAAAAAACTGGTTTCACTTTCAAACAGATGTAATTTACCTTAAATAATTGTATCTCAATCTCTAAATTGAACTTTAATCACATACAGGAGGCTCTTGCAGGATCTAGCAAGCTATTAACATAGCATGGGATAAGAAAATCTTAATTAAACAGAACTTGCAATAAAGAAAGCCTAAATAGGGCTCTCTTTACAGGAAGTGTTTATGGAAAGCTGTGCAAGTCACATGCAGGGAGGTGTGACTAGGGTTCATAAGCAAAGGGATTTAACTCATAAAATGGCAGAGGATTGAGCAGTGAGGCTGCAGGGGCATGTTCTATACACCAAAACTGCTTCATTAGGCTAAAGTTGTTCA